CAAAAAGCTCACCATGCCTCTTACTAAATACCTTGGACTGTCAATTTTCCAAAAATGGGTAATTTGGGGGGGGGTATTTGTACTATCCTGGCGTTTTCGGCCTCAAGGAATGAGATCGGCCGTCAGTACATCAGGATTGATTGCTTGTCAGATATATATATATATATATATATATATATATATATATACCTTGGTTTGTGGACTCTATAACTTTCCTAAAGACTAAATAATATACTCTACTTTGGGGATTTTCACCAAAGAAATGTAGCAGAATACATTTTGACCTACATTTATGAAGAAATTTTATTTATTTGCAAAATATAACAGAAACTAAAAAAAACGTGTTTTTGTTTGTTTTCAAACGTTTCAGGGTCTTTTTTGTTTATTGGGAAAAATTAAGGAACTCCGTGGTAATTAAATACCACCAAAAGAAAGCTCTATTTGTGTGGAAAAAATATAAAACATTTTTTATGGATGTAGTGTTGCATGACCGCACAATTGCCATTCAAAGTGCAACAACACTGAAAGCTGAAAATTGGCCTGGGCAGGAAGGGGGTAAGAGTGCCTGGTATTGAAGTGGTTAAGTAAACCCATAGCTTTGGCTTACATGGGCAAAGCACTGATTTCTATAATCTCAGCTAAAGTTGAGAACCATGTGCGTTTTTTTTTTTTTTGGATGTAATGACATCTTCTGAACAGACTGCTTTATTATGGCATTGCTTGCTTGTATCTGTTCATAGTAGAGCCTGCTTTGTCACATCATATTTATACTTTGGGTGGGGGGGTAATTTTGACCAAACAGCATACATGATTTCTGAAGTATGCACAGTTGGCCATGAACTAGCAGATGAGACATACTTTGGTTCTAAGTTTGGGACACATTGAACAGAAATAGTCACAACCAGGCTTGCTTTGTGGACAAGAGATCTCTTGGATAAGTACATACATATATGTACATTTGACCAGGCACTCTACATTATTGAAAGGTTAGAGGGTTAAGCGTTGCGGCACATCTTTTCTGATTTGTACAGTAGTCTGTCCTGTAACATGGAATCTAAAGTCCTCATCTGTGACCTGAAGTTTATTGAACCCAGCACCTAACAAACAAAAGTTCCCTACCCTTGATAGCCCAGTGATTTATCACTGAGGTATGTGTCAGGGTGTGATGTGATTCAGCAGACTCTGAATGAACTTTACCTTAGGGTCATATTGTAAGAGATCCTGTTCAGGCTGGCCCCTGTAAATGTGGTTTTTATGCCCACACAGCTGCCAAGTTGCATGCCAGACATACTTTTTGTTTCTAATGGAGAATATGAATAGCCACCCTACTGATCAAAATGGTATCAAATGGTTATCATATATATATATTTTTTTTTTTTACAATGTACACTTTGTGTTAGAAAAATTGTACATTGTAAAAAAATATTTAGTGCAATTTTAGATGCATGTCTGTTCCTTATTGCTATTTAGTTTAAAGCACGACTAACCCCAAAAATTGGCTTTAGGTCTGCCACTCCCCTTTTAGTGGTTAAAATAATTAGTACTTTTTGATGCCTCTGCCTCACAGACAAAGTGCCATCCCATGCAGTGGAAAGTCAAAGGTTATTAATTCATGGGTTAAAGCAGACCTTGCAGCAAAATGCAGGTTTTGCTAAATAGACACCATTCCCTTCCTCTAAATCTAACAACACCACTTTGCACCAAAAAAAGACGTTGGGAAAAAAAAGACCTTACATCCAACTAAGTGTAAGAATTTGGTAATGCTGAGTATTCTAAATCTTGCAGAAATGTGCTCCAGCGCAGTGCAGGTTTATCTATCTTTATCAGTGGCTCACATAAGGCCAAGAAAGAGTAACGTTTGTGGGGTTGTAGGGAAGGGTAGCATTTAAAGCACAACTCTATTAAAACTTCAATTCTCTGCAGGTTTAGCTTGACTTGACTAACCAAATATGGCCAGAAGTTGTCCATAAAAATTGATGACAATTGTTCTATGTGGGTATCCTCACCAGCCACATCTACCGGGACTTCCTACATAATACTAGGGTCACTTATTCTCTTACTGTGTCTGAGATACAAGTTTGTGTGCTTCTTTACACCAGTTTCATAACTGTATTGTGGCTATTTTTAAATTGAAGCCCACACTATTGAGAATACCAGGAATGGAAAATATATTGTAACTTTTATTCAATGCTTTTCCTGCTTTACCGAATATGACATTACTTTGCACCAGTTACACACTTCTGTCTTAAATGTGTGTTCTGAAAGAGCTGTACAGTACAAGTGCATCTCATTAAATTAGAATAGCATCAAAAAGTTAATTTATTTCAGTAATTCAATTCAAAAAGTGAAACACATATAGATTCATTACACCAAGAGTGATCTCTTTCAAGCATTTCTTTAATTTTGATGATTATGGCTTACAGCGCAATTCAGTATCTCAGAAAATTAGAATATTGTGAAAAAGTTCAATATTGTAGTCTCATGGTGTCACATTCTAATCAGAAGACACTCATTCAATAAAACCAATAAATGTATGCAGCGCTAAAAGAATGACAAATGTAACATAAGCAAATAAAGTTGCACTATACGGTGCTAAAGTAATTCAAGTGCAATGAACGTCTGTGGACGTTAACTGTGCAAGTGGTGAACTTAGTAATGCTTTCATATAATTAAGCACATAAGTCCCAAACTTTATAGGGGTAAAGAAACGTGACTCCAGTGATGTATAAATATGTGTATATTGCACCAACCAGCGCAATATTATGTGCATTTGAGTACTTAAACCACTCCTGGTCCTCCTGGGTATGGAAAGATAAGTATCCAAGGATCAACTGGCCAACCGACTGAAAGACAGGTTATCGTATGGTCATCAATCTCCAGGGTTCAGGAATCACTCAGCCATCCACCAGGGGGATCACTCTCCAAGTAACAGGAATCGTATTTAACCACCAGGGGGTTCACTCACAATGGCCGATGCAGAGCAGGACAAGAATCCACCTTGAAGGGGGGGGGGCTCACAATCAAACGAGCCTGAACAGAAATTGCTAATAGTGTAGTATTTTATTAATGGTTGGTTGCCAAGCAGAAGTAGATGCAAAATTTCAAAGCACTCACAATGTGGTCAAACAGCTTTAAAGATGGCTGCCGGCCTGACACGTGGCCTGTGCAGCGTGACGTCACCACCCTGGCTCCTCTCTAACATGTTTCATGCACTAGCACATTATATTCTAGTATTATTATAGAAGACACTCGTTGACACACTCCACAAGGAGGGTAAGTCACAAAAGGTCATTGCTAAAGAAGCTGGCTGTTCACAGAGCCAAGCATTTTAAAGGAAAGTTTTAGTGGAAGGAAAAAGGTGCACAGGCAACAGGGATAACTGCAACCTTGAGAGGATTGTGAAGCTAAGGCCAATCAAGGGGAGATTCACGTGGGGTGGACTATGGCTGGTGTCAGTGTTTCAAGATCCACTCCATACAGACATATCCAGAACATGGGCTACAACTCACATTCCTTATGTCAAGCCACTCCTGAACCTGAGACAGTGTCAGAAGAGTCTTACCTGGGCTACGGAGAAAAAGGACTGGACTGTTGCTCAGTGGTCCAAAGTCCTCCTTTCCGATGAAAGAAATTTTGCATTTCATTTGGAAATCAAGGTCCCAGAGTCTGCAGGAAGAGTGGAGAGGCACAGAATCCAAGTTGCATGAGGTCCAGTGTGAAATTTCCACAGTGGATGATTTAGGGAGCCATATCACCTGCTGGTGTTGGTCCACTGTATTTTATCAAGTCCAAGGTCAGTGCAGCCCTCTACCAGGAATTTCTAGAGCACTTTAGTCTCCAAACACGGAAAGGTTTCTTCACAGTTGAGAGCTGTGAAAATGTGGAATAGACTCCCTCAAGAGTTGGTTCTGGCCAGCTCAGTGGATTGCTTCAAAAAAGTCCTGGATTATTTCTTAGATACACAGAATATAACTGGATACTAACATTTATAGGTAAAGTTGATCCAGGGAATATCCTATTGCCTCTCGGGGATCAGGAAAGATTTTTTTCCCCTGCAGGAGCAAATTGGTTCATGCTTTGCTGGGTTTTTTTTTTTGCCATCCTCTGGATCAACTGTGGTTCTAGGATTATAACTTTTTTTTTTTATCTATGGTTGAACTGGATGGACTTTTGTCTTTTTTCAGCCAGGCTAACTATGTTACTTCATGCTTTATGGAGATGCTGATCTCCTTTTCCAGCAAGACTTGGCACTTGTCCACACTGCCAAAAGTACCAATATGTGGTTCAGTGATCATGGTATCACTGTGCTTGATTGGCCAGCAAACTCGCCTGACCTAAACCCCATAGAGTATCTGTGGGGTATTGTCAAGAGGAACATGAGGCACCATACCAAACTATGCAGGCGAGCTGAAGGCTGCTATCAAAGCAACCTGGGCTTCCATAACACTTCAGCAGTACCACAGGCTGATCGCCTCCATGTCACTCTGCATTGGTGCAGTAATTCATGCAAAAGGAACCCAGACCAAGTATGAGTGCATACTATACTGTACATGGACATACTTTTCAATAAGCCAACATTTCTGTATTTACAAATCCTTTTTTCTATTGATCTTATGTAATCTAATTTTCTGAGATACTGAATTTTGGGTTTTCACCAGCTGTCTGTAAGCCATAATCCTCAACATTAAAAGAAAGCAATTCCTGAAATATATCAGTCTGTGTGTAATGAATCTATATAATGAGTTTCACTTTTTGAATGGAATTACTGAAACTAACTTTTTTGATGATATTCTATTTTATTGAGATGCACCTTTTATATCGTACTCCTGAAACATGTTGTAGAACTGTGCACTTGTTTGTAACCTGTAAAACCTGGTTAAAACACTTAAAAAAATAAATAATACAATTCCCCTTTAAGTTGTGTGCCAAGTCTAGATATTGTTTTATTTTGTGGTGGCAGGGATAAAAAAAAATTGTTCTCTAAACCCAGTTCCTGTTTTGTTTCAGGCACGGATAGCTTTCCTGCAAGGTGAAAGAAAAGGTCAAGAAAATCTAAAGAAGGATTTAGTACGAAGAATAAAAATGTTAGAGTATGCATTGAAACAAGAAAGGTAAGGCCTGAGAAATGTATGTTCATAAAGAATCTGTGAAAATTGCTAGTGTGCTTTCAAATTTTCTTAGTAGAGGAGTCATTGGTACTGGGGCTTATAAACACATGCACGTTAAGATAAGGAGCGGTGAAATGCGGTAGTGCACCATACCCTTTCAGTAGGCTGCTAAGCTTGTTTTAATGCATGAGAATGCATTCTTCTAGGTGCCCTGTGTTGTAGTGTGAAGAATCCCTTACTTCAGACTAAAGCATTACTACCTTTTATGCATATTCTTACTTGCTTTATATAGCAGTCTGCATACTGCACCTGCAAATGCAGAGAAATGGCGCCCCTTAAAAGCCAAGTGTCAAGACAAGCCTTCTGGTTGATGACTCTAAACCAGCCGCTGCACCTTGCTGTGATGAGCATCTCCACTATTCTGTAGGAATGTGTATGGGGTGAGAAGGGTTTGGGCAGAGCAAGTAAGCTGAACCATGTGTTTTTGTTTTTGCTTTTGTTTTTTTTTTTTTGCTTTTTGTATGTTTGCTTTTTTTTATAGGGGTGCAGGGATTCTATACAAGAGTCAAAGTGTGAGAGCATCAGGACATTAAAAATTAGGCTTTAAGTTTCTGCTTCTTGTCTGTCGGGTGACTTTACTGTCTCTCTGTAGTTCCAGTCAATGCTGTCTATAGTTGGATCCAAACTTCAGGTGCTGAAGGGGTTTAGTTCTGGAGAATTCAGCCCACGGACTGCCTGCAGGCAGTGGGCTCCTGAGAGATATTGGGCTCCATGCCAAATCCTCCCACCTGCTCCTGATAGTGATCAGTCTGTAAGACACCCTGTGATTGATGTTCCAGGGATGTCAAGTGCCAGTATCTTTACCAAAGAGCACGGTAAGATCACATAATCCTCATTATACAGTGTGAGGGGATGGCATAGGAAAATTCTATATATTGTCTGGGTAGGAGCTTTAAAAAAATTGTAAGCTTCTTTTATTTTTATTTATTTTTCTTATTCCAAAAATAAAGTTATACTTACCTGCTCAGTGCAATGATTTTGCACAGAGCAGCTTCAATCTTCCTGTTCTTGAGTCCTCCGCCAGCGCTCACACAAAACAACTCAGCTCTTGTGCACATCACTGGATCGGAAATAAGGGAGTATAGGTCCTCATGCACACTGGACATTTTGCTAAAGCTGGTAATGTTAGCTGTGTAAAGTCACGTTACAAATTTAAGGTTTTTTTTTTTTTAGCGCATTAGCATTCAGCAGCAGTTTTCCCCAGCCAAAAAATGTCCCTGCCAAAAAAAACGCTGATTACAGTCTGTGTACATGGACACATGGGATAACATGCTGGGGGGTTTACTGGCTGTAGAAAAAAAAACCGTCAAAAGACAAAAACAGCCGCTGTAAAAACGTCCAGTGTGCATGAGGACTAAGGTGGGCCAGGGAGAAAGATGCACTCAGGTTTTTTTACCTATGTGCATAGAATGCATGAAGGTAAAGAAAACCTGCGGCCTTTACACTTTTAAAGTGAATCTTCAAGCTACAAATTAAAATTCAGTTAAAACCACATGTAGGTGACTTACCTGTGCATGTTTTTTTTAAATCTGGGAATCCTGTGTGGTGATTACACCTGCAAAGCTGGCAGGTGGCATGGCTAAAATATTAGGTGGCGTTTGTCGGGGCAAAAGAGAAAAAATACATTCACTACACCACTGCAATTTATGCACTTCCCCGTGTTTTTGTTTCTATAAGCTGTAAGTACAGAAAACACCCTGATGATCCTGACAGACCCGGAGATCCAGTAAGCCCCAAGCTTCCTTAAGTGACCTGAAACCACTGTCTCTGTGGCACTGTGTTCTCCTCTGTATGGTACTGGGGCTGCAGGAGGTCACTGGATTTCTTGATTGGGAGGTGCTGGAGTTTTTTTTTTTGTTTTGTTTTTTTTACTTTAACGACTTGCCCACCTGAGGATTTACCCCCCTTCCTAACCAGGCCATTTTTTTGCATTACAGCGCTGCGTTATTTTAACTGACAATTGCTTGGTCATGTAACACTGCACCCAAATTACATTTACGTCTTTTTTTTTTCCCCACGAATTGAGCTTTCTTTCGGTGGTATTTGATCATCTGTGCGGTTTTTTTTTTTTTTTTTTTTTTTTTTTTTTTTTTTTCTTTTGCACTATAAGAAAAAAGACCCGACAATTTTGGGGAAGAACAATGTTTTTGACTTTTTGCTATTAAACATGTTCAGTAAAAAAAAAATCTAATTTCTGCAAATTGATGCCAAAATGTATTCTGCTACAAGTCTTTGCTTCAAAAAAATCCCAATACATGTAAATTTATTGGTTTGCGTGAAAGGTATAGCGTTTACAAATGGTGGTGTGTATATATACTGGGATTTTTTTTTTTCATTTACTAGTAATGGCGGTAATCAGCGACTTGTAGCGGGACTGTGGTGGACATTCTGACACTTGAGGTGACTTGGTGTCACTGATATTCTCAGTGACACCAATACAGTAATCAGTGCTAAAAAACAAAACAAGAAAAAAAAACACAAACTATACTATAGGCACTGGGCAGGAAGGGGTTAACATGAGGGGCGATCAAAGGGTTAACTGTGTGCTGGGAGTGTTTTACTAGGGGGCGGTGTCTGTGTGATTCACTGTAATCACACTGCTGTGGATGGCTGTGCTGTGTACAAAAGTGGTTCTAAAGGCTCAAGGTTTTCTGCCTTCGTGCAGTCTTTGCATGAAGGTAAACAGTCTGTTCGCAGCAGCCCACCAGAACACCCCCCCCCCCAATCCTGATCTGAGTCCCCCCGATCCAATGATGTTCACAGTAGCCTTGGCTGCATTGGGACTCTCTCTCCTCATTGCCTGAGACAGAAGCGGGAGCCCGTTGGCTCTCCCTGCTGCCAATCACAGCCAGTGAGCTAGTATAAAGGTTAATCATTAGGCAAAACTTTTTTTTTTTCCATTTTGAATACAGTAAGAGTCTGTTTATGACCCCTGCCATTTGTTTTGGTTTATTTTTTCTTGCCACCTGTGTCCCTTTTTGTGGTTATTTCCCTTCACTTCTTGCATAGCGAAAACTGGAAGTGAGAGGAAATCCCTCCAAAGTGAAGGAATCCAGGGGTGTCACCAGAAACTAGTGTCTCCAGTTCAAGACTTCCCTTCTATTTCTGTTCTGATGTCAACCCAGAATTTGCAATTTTCTTTTTTATCTTCAATCATGGTAAACAGGACAAATAGAGAATCTGAATTTCCCTGACGGGGGCACAGGTGGCAATAAAACCTGACAAGTTCTAACCTCCCTCCACATCGAAAACTTAAAACAAAAACCAAAAAAATAGGTTTTGCCTTTAGTGACATTTCAAGTAGGTACTTAAGTGTTGTTTTTAGGTTCTTAGGTTCCATTTCAGGGCCTAGATGACGGTGGGGTTTTAATGGTTTATGTTGAGGTTAATTTAAGGTTAGGGGGCGAGCTAATTACTGTACAGCTACTTCCACCAAAAACCCTGTGCAAAGGCACTGAAAAACAGCATTTCCAAAAGTTATTAAAGGAGAAGTATACCCAAAGCTATTTTCCCCTTATACTTTTTGTAGTTCAGAGGAGTGCACTACTGTGACCCTTTTTCAGCCGACAGCAGGTTTAAGTCTGCTTTCGGCTGACGAAAGTGCAGAATTTACACAAGGTCTTTCAGCTCTGAAAAGCAGGGGGTGGGGAGCTGAAATTATATCAGTAAGATGATCTCTGAGAGCTGATTGAAGGGACACCCCCCTCCTTCACATTGCACACGGGAACAGAGCTGAGGCTGTAAATCAGACTGTTCCCTCCCCTTCACCATTTTTTTTTCTTGGTGTCAGGAGTGACTCCTGCTTATATCAGAAGAATGAGGTTACAAACAGAAATGACACTTAGTGCTCTGGATTGAGATAAGCACACTATAGAGAGATATGCTTTGTTCATATTTAATATTAGACACAGAACAGAATGGAAACATTTTCAACCATAGATTGCATTAAAGTAAACCTAACTGTTTAGAAAGGCCTAAACCTAACTGGTTTAGAAAGACTATGTGGCTATGGTCCAGTAGTAGGCTGTGGGAGCTGTGTCAAGGAGAAATGTGAATTAATTATGTTATCTGCTCAGTTGAAATATGATTTGTCATACTTTTATTATTGTGATCACATTTGTGTTTTCTTGTTTTTCTGTTTTAGGGCAAAATACCATAAATTAAAATATGGAACAGAGTTAAATCAAGGAGAAATGAAGATGCCATCATTTGAATCAGGTTGGCATTAGGAAAGATTACCTATTTGTAGCTTTTACAAGTCTGCATGAACAAATTTCTTGCATGTTACAGTATAAAGTCTATAGCTTCAGTGTATACCTTTTTTATTTTTAAAACCTGGTCTTTTAGATCAGACGAATGACTTTGTGTATGCAGAGAGGAGGGACATGGGAGAATGCTGTCATCTGTTTACAGCGGGTTATTTTGCAATTGGCGCATGTATAAAGCCCAGATTCCATTTTTAAAAACCCAGTTTATACATACATTTTTCCTCCTGCAGTTCGATGGCCGGTTCGTTAAGAATCAGTTTTTGTTCTATAATGGGTTTTTTTCTCCTGGTTGATGCAGCAGTCATGTAATGACAAGTGAGCTCTGCACTGTCCAGGAATACTATGAGGCCAGATTGGTGTGTTGGGCTTCCCCAGGGGGCATGTCTGTGATGGCCTGGGCTTACAGAAAGTGGGTAGGAGGACTCTATGGCATTTATTTACTTAAACTAGAGTGCCAAATCGGGTGCAGCTGTTCATGGTAGCCAATCAGCTTCAAACTTCAGATTGTTCAATTAAGCTTTCACAAAAAAAAAAACCTGAAAGCTGATTTCTATGCAGGGCTGCACCAGATTTTGCACTCAAGTTTTAGTAAATGAACCCCTGTGTGCCATTCATCCAGGGAGGGTGTGGTAGTCTGAGAAGACAGGACCAGATAGTAAGAGGGCCACCATGGGTCCTTAATGCATTACTATCTCTGAAAATCCAAAACTGCTCCATTTTTCATAAAATTCAGAACCCGTGATCTGTTCATTATTATAGGTTCTTTTTAGAAGCCGAATTTGATCCCCATATATGGGCTTAATTTCTTCCTTAGTCAAATATTGTATACAGTGGCAAGAAAAAGCATGTGAACTCCTTGGGATTAATTGGTTTTTGGCAGTAATTTGCCATAAATTGTAATTTAATCCTCATCTAAGTCAAAATAGACAAACACAATGTGGTTAAGTTGGTGACACACAAACAATTCAAATTTCTTGTGTCTTTATTGAACATGTCCATTAAACAATCACAGTGCTGCAAGAAAAATGAAGTGAATTCTCTGAGTTAATAGGTGTTCAAACCTCACTGGATAGCAATGGCTTCAAGCAAGCTCTTTCAGTAGCTCTAAATTAGACTTGCGCAACGTTCAGGAGGAATTTGTCACCATTCCTCTTTACAAAATTGCTTCAGCTCACACATTTGTACAAAGCTTGGTGTTAACTGCTCTTTTGAGGCCATTCCACGTTATCTGTATGGGGTTAAAGAGATCCTAAAGACTTACATTTTTTTTCTAAAAATAAACATGTCTATACACAGCTGCTGTATGCAGTGGTTTTGCATAGAGCAACCTGGTTCCTCCTCCTAGGGTCCCCTACAGTCTCTCCTGGCCCCTCCCTCCCGTTGGGTTTCCCCACAGCAAGCAGCTTGCTATGGGGGCACCTGCTGCTCTGTGTGTCCATTCACACATGGAGCCGCGGCTCGGCCCTGCCCCTTCTCTCTTCTCATTGGCTCTCTGGCTGTGATTGACAGCAGCGGGGGCAGGGTGGCTTTCATTTAAATCATGAGTGAAAAGGCTTGATTTAAATCATAATTTTTAAAGCGCAACTGGGTTCTCTGTCCCACAGCGGCTCCTCCTCTGACCCGCTGTTGACTCACTGACAGTCCCATTCACTTTAATGGGACGGCAGGTGATGCAGCATTGACACAAGAAATTGAGGGACATGGCGACAGCAGGTGTTTGGATGCCCGCTAACAGGTGCTGCCATGATGGATCTAAAATGACAGGTGCTCTTTAACTATAAGGAATCCGACTCATTCTTGCTGGTAGTTAGAATCTTTAATATTTGCAAACCAAATGAAGGTTTCCTTTTTAGAACAATAAGCTGTCAGGTTAGCAAAACAGCGATATCAGAACCGATTTTAGGTTAATCACACATAGGTAGAGAAGTACTCAAATTCTTTTATTTCATGTTTTTGCTCATGGTTACTGTGAAACTGTGTGAGTGCATTAATGCAGTGCATGTTATCTCAGCTTGCAGAGCTTGGATTCATTGAATGAGTTTACCAGAAATGTAAATATTGCAGAATATACAGCCTCATGGTACATAACTAAGCTCCATTCCATGCTGAATAAACTAAATTATTAATGTGTCTTAAATAGAAAATGATCTTTAGATAGATTTTTACTCCAAAAGCATTTTCTTAAAATAAATGCTGTTTCAGCGAGTGAGGAGAGGGAGTCCCGGGATAGCCAAGACTACAGTGCACATCGCTTGACCGGCAGCGGGCTTAGGTGAGTATCGGGGCCTGGGGGGATGCTGCACAAGGAAGGTTTTTTTTTTGTTTTTGTTTTTGTTTTTTTTTTTACCTTCATACATAGAATACTTGAAGGTAAAAAAAAAAACCTTGAGCCTTTACACCACTTTAAGGTCTGGGCTCTGACTGGGCCACTTCAAAAGGCGCATTTTCATTTTCTCAAGTCAGTCTGTGGTGATTTACTTTGATGCTTCAGGTCATTGTGCTGTTGCATCACTCAATTTCTACTAAGCTTCAGTTGATATACAGCCACTCTGCCAAAAAATCCTACAGGATAATGTCAAACGTGGGAAATAATTTTCCTTTCGATGATAGCAAGTGGTTCATGCCCTGAGGCAGCAAAGCAAGCCCAAATCATCATGATGTTCCCTCCATCATATTTCACTGTTGGGTGATTTGATGTTGGTAAGCTGTGCCTTTTTTGCATTATACATAGTGCTTAGTATTCATCCAGAACAATTGAACTTTTGTTTCATCAATTCACAAAATATTTTCCCAGTAGCGTTCGGGTTTACCATCACGCTGTTTGTTCCAATGATGACAGTGTTACAGTTTGCAAGTTCCAGTGATGTCTAAAAGCCTTTAACTGTTGTGAGTTCTTGTTTACTCCATTGAAGATTCTGCGTTGCGTTTTGGGAGTCATCTTGGCTGGGTGCCCACTTCTAGGAAGAGTAGCCACAGTACTAAACTGTCCCCAATTATAGATAATTTGCCAGGCTACTGATGGAAGCCTAAACACTTTGAGATTGCTTTGTATTTCTCTCCAGCTTCATGCAGATCAGCTACTCTTGATCATATGTCTTCAGAGTGCTCCTTTTTGCAAGGCATGGTTCACATCAGCTGATGCTTCGTATGAACCGCAATCTTAAAATGTTTTGTCTTTTATCAAAGTAGCTGTAAACCACTCCTCCAAACTCATTTAATTGGCCTCCAGGTGTGCAAACTACTGAATCGATTAGCTTTCTTTGAAGTCATTAGTCTATTAATTTTTCCTCCGTCACTGAATGTTTAATGGGTTGATTCACCACAAGAAATTTGAATTGTTTTTGTGCTTATCAGTTTAAGCACATTGTGTTTGTCTATTGTTGATTTCAGTTATGTAGTGCAAGGGCCTGCCTGATTGAATACTAATTGAAGTGTTTAGGTTTGACCTCATATCATATGGTTTTGGTAAATCTAAAGGACATTGTACAAGAAAGTTGTATAATATATAGCCAGCCTTAGATGACATCGCATTTTATGGCACATTACTGCTGAAAAGCAGTTAATGCCAAGGGCTTCACATGTTTTGTTTGGCCACTGTATCCTGAGTAAGTATAATTATATATCCACATGTCTTCGGCAGGTAATCCTATCCACACTAGTGACTTGTGCAGACGTTGAGAGAAAAAACTTTGCCCATTTGTCTTATTTGATTGTTTTAACAGGCACAAATTGGCTCAGGTGAGCTTAAAGAGACCTTGTTGCAAGACAATTCCAGCAGCAATCTTCCCATTAGTTTATAAATGCATTTAACATATTTTATGCATGTTGTTTATCTGCTGGGCACCACAACCTGAGGTTTGATGTCAGCCGCCCAAGTTTGCGTAGAACTGTCACTGAAGTGACCCTCTATAGTATTCCTATTTTTGTGCCTTCCTCATCAGCCCCGTAAGCTTATATAGGGAGATGAAGGGAAGAGCAGAGGAGCTAGACCAGCAGACATTAGACCCTCCAGAAGATGAGGGTTATGAAATGCAATGAGGTAAGGTACTTTTCTAGAGCACTGATGCCCCTTTCACACACAGGATCTGATCAGGTCTGCCTGTCAGGTTTTTCAGGCAGACCTGAACAGACCCTCCATGCACCCCTATGGACCGGCAGGTGTAAATGCACTTGTGATCGTTTTACACCAGCCTATCTCCAATCTGGTCCACTAAAAAAAAAAAAAAAAAAAAAAAAAAGCGGAAGGTAATCCTCTCCCCTCTGTCTAGTTGGATAAGATGGCAGTCAGGTGTAAACGGACAGCGAGTCCATTTACACCAGGCCACCCATGGAGCAGAGTGGGCTCTGTCAGTTGTCTGCTCTTCATAAAGTGAGTGGGCAAGGACCTGTCATCCGTTTGCTCTGATCAGCAGGAGATCAGCAAACTGATCCCCTGATGATCTAAACAGAGCCTGCCCCATGTATAAGGGGTCTAACTCTTCCTGATTTTAACAAGTGTTCTACCAAGTTCAGGGGCAAGACTGCAATTGAATAGTAAAAAGTTTATTCAAAGAAAAACTAATAAAAGCCTTTAAATATGTATTAAGACCATTAACGGTGTTGCAGACAAAATGTTTACACTGTGTAACCCACTCAAACATATGAAGGTACTGAATAAGATTAGATCTGGGAACACAGATAAAACATTACTTTTATTCAGTGATAAGTATTTGTTATAGAAAAGACATACACAGCCCTAAAACCACACAAACCTATGTTTTGGTTTTTGTGTTTGTTTTTTTTTGTTCCGCCTTTTTTTTTTCTTTTTTTTTTATTCCTTTTTGTCTTTTCTAATAGAACATATACTTTTTGTTTTTGATTGACCTCACTTTTTTCACTATTTTTGATATAAGTATTTAAAATATTTGATCTTTCTCTGCTTTTAACTGCAAATTTTTTTAGGTTTGTGACCGGGTCTTTTTTTAAGCTGCGAAAGCTCACAGCCCTAGGAAGCGCTGGTGTTTTCATATTTTTTTCACACTAAATTGATATATCACAGCTATATGCTAGTAGTAGTGGTAAAGTAATATGAAGAAAGCAACAAGGATGCAAAAATGGTAAAGACCCTCTTTTGGAATATAATTAACTTTCATTGCAGGACACATGATGATTTTTTTTTTTTTTTTTTTTTTTTAACCTTTTTTTGCGCTTGTTAATTTGTTTCAGTTTAAAGTAACACGCTTTATACCTTGTTTCACAAACATAGCTGCATTGGCATCCTGAATAGATCACATAACTTCAGAATAAGAGATCAGTTATTTTTAATGGCAGGTCTTTGTGTTTTAAGTCTTGGTGACACCAGTCACTGGGTCAGCGTGGACCTCTGCTTTTTCAATCTGGGAGTTGAAGGGCTCCATGGACTTGCGCACTGTAATGAAATCCAGTGATGCCTTTATAAATACTGAATCTGCTGTTGAGCCAGATTACCTATCCTTTTGTTCATGCTAGCTGTGTGTTTACTGTCCTTTCCAGAAGAAACCAAAGATTCAGAGATTCCTGCAGGACCTCAGAATAGTCAGCTGACGTGGAAGCAAGGGCGACAGCTTTTAAGACAGTAAGTAAGAGTGTATACTTCTATGGCAGATTTGGCTGATGTCACGCTTTCAAGCTGATTAGAACACAGAGTTCTGTTATTTTCAATTAGCTAGACAATAAGCATTTTATGCAGACAGAAGGGGGTAGAGTGGGAAGAGCTGTTAGAGATACAAGCAGAAGCACATTAAATGGTTATATGGGAGAAAGATACATATATTTTGTTTCTGCTGTATTTTTACCTGACAATCTGGGTATAGTTGAGATCATGGAAAGTGAAGCAACTTATAAGAACTGTTGTAATTATATCAGTTATTTCTGATTGGCTGCTTTGTCCATGCATATTGCGCTTTGCGTTAAAGAAAAATCCAGGTAGCAAGTAAATTGTTAGTAAGTTATCAATGCTAAATTACGCAACAGTTATCCCCAAGTCATAAATCTTACTCTGTTTACCATAAAGGAACTTGTCAGGATAGAACTTGTCTTTGCAGGTGGTTATGCTCTCAGGTTATTATCCTTACCCTTTCTTTACTACTTTGTGAATTGCTGACTCAGATCAAACAGGAAGCTAGCAAAGTGTCAGAGCCTGTTTCTGGTCAGTGATTCGCCAAGTAATGATGGAAGAAGTATGATGGCCCTGTTGTCTAAACCTTGAAATATGTATGAGCAATGGCAGCACCCATTATTGCAGCACAACAGGTTCCTTTTTATTGTAAGTTTTATATAACAAAGCAGCTTGCATTGGCAGGATGAAAATGCAAAACCTCTAAGCTGTCTGAGTGTTCCTTTTAACCACTTGCCTCCACACTATAGCAGAAGCACTGCTACAGGGCGGCAGGGCTGCACAAAATCACGTGTGTGTGTGTGTGTGTGTGTGTATGTATATATGTGTGTATATGTATATATGTGTGTGTATATGTATATATGTGTGTGTATATGTATATATGTGTGTGTATATATATATATGTGTGTGTGTGTGTGTGTGTGTGTGTGTGTGTGTGTGTGTGTGTATATATACAGTCAGGTCCATAAATATAACATTTTTGGCTCTTTACACCACCACAATGGATTTGAAATGAAACGAACAAGATGTGCTTTAACTGCAGACTGTCAGTTTTAATTTGAGGGTATTTACATCCAAATCAGGTGAAAGGTGTAGGAATTACAACAGTTTGCATATGTGCCTCCCACTTGTTAAGGGACCAAAAGTAATGGGACAATTGGATTCTCAGCTGTTCCATGGCCAGGTGTGTGTTATTCCCTCATTATCCCAATTACAATGAGCAGATAAAAGGTCCAGAGTTCATTTCAAGTGTGCATTTGAAATCTGTCGCTGTCAACTCTCAAGATGAGATCCAAAGAGCTGTCACTATCAGTGAAGCAAGCCATCATTAGGCTGAAAAAACAAAACAAACCCATCAGAGAGACAGCAAAAATATTAGGCGTGGCCAAAACAACTGTTTGGAACATTCTTAAAAAGAAGGAACGCATCGGTGAGCTCAGCAACACCAAAAGACCCGGAAGACCACGGAAAACAACTGTGGTGGATGACCGAAGAATTCTTTCCCTGGTGAAGAAAACACCCTTCACAACAGTTGGCCAGATCAAGAACACTCTCTCCAGGAGGTAGGTGCATGTGTGTGTCAGAGTCAACAATCAAGAGAAGACTTCACCAGAGTGAATACAGAGGGTTCACCACAAGATGTAAACCATTGGTGAGCCTCAAAAACAGGAAGGCCAGATTAGAGTTTGCTAAACGACATCTAAAAAAGCCTTCACAGTTCTAGAACAACATCCTATGGACAGATGAGACCAAGATCAACTTGTACCAGAGTGATGGGAAGAGAAGAGTATGGAGAAGGAAAGGAACTGCTCATGATCCTAAGCATACCACCTCATCAGTGAAGCATGGTGGTGGTAGTGTCATGGCGGGGCATGTATGGCTGCCAATGGAACTGGTTCTCTTGTATTTATTGATGATGTGACTGCTGACAAAAGCAGCAGGATGAATTCTGAAGTGTTTCGGGCAATATTATCTGCTCATATTCAGCCAAATGCTTCAGAACTCATTGGATGTCGCTTCACAGTGCAGATGGATAATGACCCAAAGCATACTGCAAAAGCAACCAAAGAGTTTTTTAAGGGAAAGAAGTGGAATGTTATGCAATGGCCAAGTCAATCACCTGACCTGAATTCGATTGAGCATGCATTTCACTTGCTGAAGACAAAACTGAAGGGAAAATGCCCCAAGAACAAGCAGGAACTGAAGACAGTTGCAGTAGAGGCCTGGCAGAGCATCACCAAGGATGAAACCCAGCGTCTGGTGATGTCTATGCGTTCCAGACTTCAGGCCGTAATTGACTGCAAAGGATTTGCAACCAAGTATTAAAAAGTGAAAGTTTGATTTATGATTATTATTCTGTCCCATTACTTTTGGTCCCTTAACAAGTGGGAGGCACATATGCAAACTGTTGTAATTCCTACACCAATCACCTGATTTGGATGTAAATACCCTCAAATTAAAGCTGACAGTCTGCAGTTAAAGCAGAGCTTGTTTGTTTCATTTCCAATCCATTGTGGTGGTGTATAGAGCCAAAAATGTTAGAATTGTGTCGATGTCCCAAAATTTATGGACCTGACTGTATATATATGTGTGTGTGTATATGTATATGTGTGTGTGTGTGTGTGTGTGTGTGTGTGTGTATATATATATGTGTGTGTGTGTGTGTGTATATGTATATGTGTATATATATATATATATATATATATATATATATATATATATATATATATATGTGTGTGTGTGTGTGATTTGCATTTCCGGGTAGGGGGCACGTGTGCTGCGGCTAGAGAGGTCAATCGCTCAGCGATCGTCGGAGAAAGCTGGCAGGGGAGAGACTGGTGTGTAAACAGGTCTCTCCTGTCAGCATTGAAATGTTGTTTTGTATCTCTCTGCACAGCAGAGAGATACAAAACAGCTTGTCTCTGTAGTAAAGCACAGCACACTGTAAAACACACACCACACAGTTAACCCTTTGATCGCCCCTTCCTGTCATTTGTACAGTGTCAGTGCTTTTCATTAGCACTGATCACTGTATTAGTTTTACTGGGGATGTCAGTGGCAGTCCATTCCCACCCAGTGTCAGAATGCCCGTTGCAGTCCCGCTGTAAATCGCTGATCGCCGCCATTACTAGTATAAAAAAAATTAAAATTCCAGCATATATACTGCCATTTGTAGACACTGTAACTCATGTAAACCAATTAATTTACATGTATTGGGATTTTTTTTTTTTTTTTACAAAGACGTAACAGAATACATTTTGGCCTAACTTCAAGGCCCTATTGATGTCCTTCCAGAACCCCGCCCCCCTGTGCACCCCAGGGGTACACATCGGGTGCAGTCTGATCGCTGTGTCCTTCTAATGTGGCTTATCACAGATTGCGGTACAGGGCCAATCACAGTGGTCCTTTACTATGTGATCAGCTGTGTCCAATCACAGCTGATCACATTGTAAACAGACTTTATCGTTATCAGCAGTCCTTTCCTCATGCGCTGGCAATTCTGACAGGTACAGATTGTCAGGGCACTGAACATCAGTGCAGCCCATCAGCACCGCCTCATCTGTGCCCATCAGTGAAGAATAAAAATTACTTACAAAATTTTCTAACAAATTAAAGGGTTTTTTTTTTTTTTCAAAATGTTGGTCATTTTTTTTTTGTTTAGCATACATGCACACTTGATGCTTAAATTGCATGCATACATGATGCTTAAATTGCGCGCTTGCATACCTGATGCATACGTTGCGTACTTGCATGCTTACTGGATGCATGAACTGTGCACTTGCATGCTTACTGGATGCATGAACTGTGCACTTGCATGCATGCTTACCTGATGCATAATCTCTGCGTATGCATGCATACCTGATGCATAAACTGTATGCATGCATGATGCATAAACTGTGTACTTGCATGCATGCATGCATGCATACCTAGGAAACCAAGTGTACATGCATACATAAGCTGTACATGCATACTTAAACTGCATATTTGTACTTAAGAACTCAAGATTGCGTACTTGTGTGAACTATGTATTGTATAATCTGCATTCTTGCATAACACTGGACCTGCATGGCTCCAGGTTTTCTTGCCTGCATGATTGCCTAACTGTAGACTAACATGGCTATGAACCTGCATCCCTGTGGGACTGCTTAGTTAGGTGACAATATAGTTGCTACATTATTAACTTAAAGGGCCCCAGAAGGTTGAACCGGAGACACAGATGGGCCACCCTTGGGTCCAGTGGACTCTAGGGGTAATCTGGCGGTGTATGCATGTCACGACAGACCAACTGATGTCAGGTGTATCTGGGTTTGCAGCTATTTCTGGTGGTGTAGCAGCAATGTTCTGCGTCTGCATCACCCTTTACGTGCCTGATCTTGCCTAAACTTGGAAGCTAAGCAGGATCAGCCTGGTTAGTACTTGGAGGGGAGAACACCTGAGAATACCAGCTGCTGTAAGCTTTTCCCCTCCAAAATCTGAGATGGTTGTGTTTTGAGAATTATCTCGGGCAGAGAATGCTATGGCAGCGGTGAATTGAGACACTTGACCGGTTCGCAGACCCAAAACCAAACTGTATTGTGAGGTTTATCTATCTTAGATCTCAAGGTACTAGGCATAAGTTTAGACGTCCTGTTTCGGATTGAATTGGTCCATCAATTAGTTAGATTTCGGGTGTCTCACACACTGTCTGGGACATAACTGCATGTGCCGTCTGTCGGCAGTTCACATTCCAGGTATAGAGAACTGTTAGGGGTTTTCTCCCCAGACATCAGCAGTTGATACTGGGAAAGTGGTCCCTGCATTCCAAGACATTCTTGGCAATCTGCCTTCATTGGGGAAATCTGACTACTGACTTCCAGATTCTACAATGTTAGGTTGTGTCCTGGATGGGAGTCCCATTTGGCATTAGGGGTATATGCTCTGGTAACACCTTAGGGACCAGTTCCCCCTAGTCTGTCTGCCCCTGTTTCAACTATTGCTGTGTCCTTTGCGCAGGATGCAGGAGGAGGTAACATTGATAATAGTGGTAGCCTGACCTAGCCCAGCCCAGCCCAAGCGGGCTTGATACACCAACATGGTGCGTTTGGCAGGGGGTACTCCTTGGATACTTTCGGTCTGCCCAGACCTATTATCATGGCTCCAATAATGTATCCTGCTTTATGGTTGCTAGGATTGAAGGTTTGGCTATATTAAGCCCAGTTCTAGTAAGATCGGGGGGGTTGGGTCCTGTTTTCTTTGCACTGTTGAGCACCAGGAAGCCGGCTTCAGGAAGCTTCCATTACAGGACCTACCATTACAGAATCTAATTTGCCAGGGGAACCCAGGTAGTGGTTGAAAGGTTTATTTCCTATCTGGAGGGGAAATTAAATTGACCTTAAGTGTCATTTAGGGTCAGATGTCAGCGCTATCCATTTGTTGTTTCTTACTCCTTGATTCATACTTTGTGCAGGATGTAACACAGGTTTAAGGGTTGGCTGTTTTTCTCCACAGGCCATTGCATCTCACTCTCGTACCTTTTTGCAAGGAGTAATGCATTTAGCTCTGCCTCTTAGGCTACCTTTATGTCATTGGGACTTGAACTTGGTCTTGGAGGTTTTGCAGAGATCACCATCTGAGCCCCTTTGGGAGATTCCTCTAGTCCTGTTGGCCCTGTTTTGTTTTTAGAGCTAATCACTTCTGCAAGAAAGGTGTTGGAGCTGGCAGCTCTTTCTTTTAAAGAGCCTGTTCGGGTTTTGCATCAGGATAAGGTAGTGTTGTGACAGCAACAGTTTTTTTTTTTTTTTTTTTTTTTTTTTTTTTTTTTAATACCAAAGGTGGTTTCTAGTTTTTCATCTCAATCGGGACATTGTTCTGCTATCATTCTTTCCTGGGCCTTAGTCAGGAAGAACCTTGCATACCTTGGATATGGTATGCGCTGTAAGGGTCTTCCAGAGATTGAGGCACAGGTCAGGAAGTTGGATGCTCTTGTGCTGCCTGACGGGCCCAGTAGGGGGCAGGTAGCATCCAAGGCAAAGATTTCACATTGGATCTGTCAGTTGATCATTTAAGCCTATGGTTTGAAGGGTAAGGTCCCACCCTTTCGGGTGAGGACACACTTTATCAGGGGTGTGGGGACATCTTTGGCGATGTGCCATTAGGCATCAGTTGCTCAGATTTGTGAGGCCGCTACATGGGCTTTGGTTCACAAGGTTCTACCAGGTGGCTGAGAGAGCTGCAGAGGACTCTGCCTTTGGCCACAGCATCTTGCGAATGGCTGAATAGGTCTTGTGGGATTGTTGGCTGTAGCTATCATGGTGCCACCCTCCCCTCAAAATGTCTTTTATTGCTTTGGATCATCCCACATAGTCAAGAATAGCCTGCTCTGTGTCCTGTGATGTACGATAAAGAAGATTTTTTTTTTCTACATACTTACATGTAAAATCCATATCTTGGCACCCATCTCGGGACACAGAGGTCCTTCCCTGCTTTGTGGAATTTCATTGCTTGCTATAAAAACTGAAGTACTTGCTGTGTAGGAGGGGTTATATATAGGGGAGGACTTTCTCTCTGGTCGGCCAGTGTGCATTCACCTATAGGTGGCATATAACCCACATAGTCATGAATAGCGTGCTCTGTGTCCCGTGATGTACTCCAAGAAATGTATTTTACAGGAAAGTACGTAGAAAGAAATCCAATTATTGGCTATAGGGTCTTTGCATACTGGGCTTAAACGCTGCTTCTACAGGACATGTAGCTTTTTTGTTTTTTCCTGTAGAAGCAGTTCAATGTTATCTTATGTGTCCAGAAAAAAACCCTTCTGGATTGCGTTTTTGAGAGGAGTTTTCTGGCAGGAAAAAAAAAACGCTAAACGTGTCTTAAAAAAAAACAAAAAAAAAACAAAACGAAAAAATTAAACGCTGAGTTTTTTTTTGTTTTTTTTTTTCCTGCCAAAAGAACTGGCAAAAAATGCCCAGTGTGCATAGACCCTTAAGATAAACACTATTCATAACTTGATGTATGTTCACTGAAAATATATAATAATTTTACTTTAGACAAAGTATTAAAAACAGAATGCAACAAGATACAGCAGAGAAACTATATTAAACTATAAAAATACTTGTGTCTATGCTGCCACAGAAATATTGCTGGTAGACCCTTTTCTGTCACCCAATATCCCATGCACTGTAGCTGAAAGCAGATTTTCATGTCTATGAAACTCTGCAGATGTTTACTCTTTGAAAAATCTGTATTCTGGGTCTTTGACGAATGTGATATTTTGGATATATTTCTGATTTTCTGTTTTTCCTCTCAGTAAAATTACTGAACAGACACAAACATAGTCTTTTCAGTATTGGCATTATAGGTTTTCACTTGACATAAGAACAAGTGTGAACTTGTATCCTGCATTTCATTTAGTGTAGATGTGGCTGTGCCATAAAAAGGGTCGAAGATTTTCTGAGTTGCTTACATGTGTTCCCTTCTGCAGGTATCTTCAAGAAGTTGGGTATACAGACACAATTTTAGATGTTCGGTCGCAAAGGGTACGTTCTCTGCTTGGACTTTCAGGCTCTGAGCCAAATGGCTCTGTTGAAACAAAGAACCTAGAACAGATACTCAATGGAGGAGACTCTTCTTCACTGAAACAAAAGGGACAGGAAAACAAAAGGTAATCTTAAACTCTGTTGTACTGCTGAGCCATTTTAGGTATCTGTGTGCGCTTTTGTGCAATTTAGAAGTCTGTCAGCAGATATATATTTATTCTGTGAGCACGCATGTATTAGATGCCATGGTATGAGATACCATTTCTGAACCATTAAAGGTAAACTAGCATTTTACATTTTTTCATTGTTCACATAAACAGGCATTAACATACATCCAAATGAATCAAGGAAGCAGTAGCTAGTTGCATCAGGCGATGTGCATAATAGTGAAGAATGGAACTTCTGTACAAGACATTGTTAGCACATAACACGCAAAATATATTCCTAAAATAGAATGTCCGTTTCTTTTTCACTGTCAAATTGCTTATTACACTTGCCTGCCAGCAAGGGAATATGTAATGTGCTAAAGGGTTGAGGAGGGGGAGCATCAGGGGGACTTCCAGACCCCGGCCAATGGGGAGCCCAGGGCGGCAAAGGCTGTCGGAACTTGTAGTGCTCTCATTCACAGAATACCAGTCCATTCGTAACATGTTACATGTCACACCCTGAATATGGGTGTAACATATTATGAAAGGTAAACTTGTCCTTTAAGTGAGCAGATGGTTAATATGATTCAGGTCATATTGGTTGCAAACCACATGCATATGAAGTAGGTTACCCTTTTTTCCCCACAAAGCAGGTGTATAGGCACATGCTGCATTTAACTGGTGACAGGTCAGTGAAGACCTATGCTGTTTTGTTTGATTTGTGTTAATGTACAGTTAGCCCTGTTTTGGGGTCTATCCCTAGATTCACTGAAATTAGCTAAAGGGATCAATTTTCAGACTTTAGACCACAAAGCGAAGCAGTGGGGGGCAGTGCCAGAAAACATGCAGCAGTGTTCCTGTTTTTAGCCTGGCATCTCCATCGGGTACTCTGGACATGTCGTAGGATTTTATGAAAAAGCGATAGGACCCGATATTACTGTGATAGGAATTAGTAGCTCTGTTTGAATTGATTGAGGACCTATGTGCTAAAGTAATTGTTCTAGTGATGTGCACTGAGGTGAGGGGTTATCTTTACTCGAATTTCTATTTGCAGATATGAGGAGGTGGCGTGATGCCAACTTTTAAAACTTGGATACTAGTTTATTATACAGAATTGAACATAATAGGTCGATATAGTTTAACCACTTGAACACCAGGCCTTTTCTGGCATCCCTCCCACAGCTTGTAAAAGCAATCCAGTGGCTTTTTAGCTGCTAGGATTACTTTTCCAAGAATGTGCTCCTCCAGCTGTAAAAAGATACCAGGATTATGCCTGCAGCTGCAGTATGGGTACGTCGCCTGGCGTTAAGTGGTTAATGTCTTGGCCCACATTTTATTTTCAACCCTTAGTCACCCTAATGACCCCAAGAGTAAAAATCAAATAAAACAATTGGCTGAATTGAGTAATTTAAATCTTGGGGTCACAAAATGTCCATTGAGGGACAAATCCAGGGCAATACACAGCATTTTGTCCAAGACCAGGGCAAATATGGATAGAAAGAGATAATGTATACATTGTTCTTATTAGCTAGCTGCAAAATGATGATAAAATAGCCTCCTTCAGGTAGGTTAAATCACTTAAACCTGCCTTGTTGCTAGGAGGTTGGGTCACTCCAGGCTTATGCCCCCTCACCAAAATAAGAGTGAGCTCTCAAACTAAGATTAGAGCTATTGCGACAGGGCAGGGAAAGTGCATGCGAGGGGGTTTGATTTGGCTAGGAGGTTCTTGGCAACATCCTAGCAACAAGGTAGGATGAGTTGATTCTCTGGTAGTTTTTCAGTCTGGCTTAAAGTAGTTGTACACTTCAGATATATGAAATATGAACAAAGCATGTCCCTCTATAGTGTGTACTTGTCTCTATCCAGAGCACTGTCACTGTCATCTGTCATTCCTCTATCAGCATGAGTCTGACAAGTTTTCCTGATGCCAAGAGAAAAAAGGTGACAGGAGGGGACCTCCAACAGATTGACAGGCTTGGCTCTGTTCATGTGAGCTGTGTGAAGGGGGTTGTGTCCCTTCCCTCTAGTCATCCCTGCAGAGCTGTCCTCACTGAGGTCTGCAGAGTTTTTCTGCTCTGCCCCTTTTTTTCTAAACTCAGACAAGCTTTATAAATTCAGCACCTTGATCAGATGTAGAGAAGAGAAAACAGCCGATTAACAGGTACAACTTATGTAAGAGGATTTGCTTTATCTCTGTGTATCACCTGAGGCTAGTCACTTCACTGGATATATGGACACACATGTAGTTTTTTTGGTAAAGGTGAACTGACCCTTAAACTGTTGAAGGCCACAAAACGCCAGTTTTCACATATCCGCTATAAGTAATACAGCTGCCCAGTCTTTGCTGCCACAATCATTTTATATTTAAAGGTTTCAGATTTCACAAAGTTGTTGTAAAGGCTGAAGGTAAAAAACCTTCAGTCTGCAGCTCCCCCGTCAGCCCCTTCCCTAATACTTACCTGAGCCTGATCTCGATCCTGCGATGTGCAATTCACAAGAGCAGTGGCTCTCCCAGGTCTCACCCTCATTGGGTGAGACACAGCATCTGCTGTCCATCACAGCCAGTGAGGAGGGAGTGCGTTGGGCAGGGCCGCACTGTGTGTGTCTTTATAGACACACAGAAGTGTCTCAGGAGCGAGCACACACAAGTGCACCCAGAGAAAGCAGCTTGCTCTGTGGGCACTCAGTAGGGGGGAGGAGCCAGGAGCACCAGTGGGGGACTTTAGAAGAGGATTAGGGCTGCTCTGTGCAATATCAGGAAATGTTTGTATCACTTTAAATATTCATATGTCAGTACAACAGTTTATTTCTTTGAATTTGAATGAAAGGCTGTAATTCGTTGTGTTTATACTGTCCATAGGGTTCATGCGTTCTTTGCAAATTGTAAGGTTGTCTCCACATCCAGCAGGTATTGTTATATGGATATATTATGTAGCAGAGACAGGCATATATCCTATCTGAGGATTATCCATTTTCTCAAGTTTATTCACTAATTAATAAGCTTAAACAATCACTTTCTATTTCAATAGATATTTTCGCTATATTGTATTTAATTGCATGTGCAAATTATAATGATTTTCAGCTTATTGTTACTTTGATCCTTTATCATGAGTCATTCATAAAAGACAAGCTGATTCTTTGAAATTAATTTACCCATTACCTGCGTGGGTGTGCTCTGCATATTGTATGCCTGCCAGTGTAGGGGACTCTACCACACACCTGTGTTGTTGGCTTAGAAGTCTGACCTTTCCTCACACAGTTGGTGAGTTCGCTGTGCAGATGTTTAAAGTGATAGTAAAGGCTCATGTTTAAAAACAAAAAATAAAAAATAAACATGTTATACTTGCCTCCTCTTGTGAGGTCCCCTGCTGACACTCCTGGCCCCTCCCTCTTGGCGAGTGCCTCCAAAGAAAGCCACTTGCTCTAGGGGAACTCGGCCCCGCACCCTCTCTTTCCTCACTGGCTGTAAATGACAGCAGCGGAGCTGTGCCTCAGCCAATGAAGAGGCAGAGACCTGGGAGAGTTGATGTGCTCTTGCACATTGCCGGATCGAAATCTAGCTAAGGTAAGTATTGGAGGGACTGCATGGGCACTGTATACTGAAGGTTTTTTAACTTCATGCATAAAATACATAAAGGAAAAAAAACCTTTAGCCTTTACAACCACTTTAAGAGATTCCTGTATGTTCTCTAAATCTATATTAAAATACATTTTATTTTTTAAATGTACACATTACTTTTAGAGAATCTACAAAGTGTTTTGGTTTTTTTTAACTTGTATTTTAAGATTATTCTCTTCATTGGAATGGTCTGTTATAAGATTGGCTAAAGTGTTTTGACATGTACACTATATTGTCAAAAGTATTGACACCCCTCCAAATCATTGGATTCAGGTGTTTCAATCGCCTCCATGGCCACAGGTGTATAAAATCAAGCACCTAGGCATGTAGACTGCTTCTACAAACATTTGTGAAAGAATGGGTCGCTCTCAGGGGCTCAGTGAATTAAAGCGTGGTACCGTGATAGGTTGCCACCTGTGCAATAAGTCCAACCGTGACATTTCCTTGCTACTAAATATTCCACGGTCAACTGTTAGTGGTATTATAACAAAGTGGAAGCAACTGGGAACAGCAACTCAGCCATGAATTGGTAGGCCATGTAAAATAACAGAGCGGGGTCAGCACATTCTGAAGCACACAGTGCGAAGAAGTCACCAACTGTCTGCAGAGTCTATAGCTAAAGATCTCAAATCTTCGTGTGGCCTTCAGATTAGCACAACAACAGTGTGATGAGAGCTTCATGGAATGGGTTTCCATGGCCGAGCAAATGCATCCAAGCCTTACATCACCAAGATGCAATGCGAAGCATCTGATGCAGTGGTGTAAAGCATGCCACCACTGGACTCGAGCAGTGGAGATGTGTTTTCTGGAGTGACAAATCACGTTTCTCTGTCTGGCAATCCGATGGATGTATCTGGTTTTGGCTGTTGCCAGGAGAATGATACTAGCCTGACTGCATTGTGCCAAGTGTAAAGTTTTTAGTGGAGGGGGAATTATGGTGTGGGGTTGTTTTCAGCGGTTGGGCTTGGCCCCTTAGTTCCAGTGAAGGGGACTCGTAAGGCATCAGCATACCAAGACAATTTCATGTTCCCAACTTTGTGGGAACAGTTTGGGGATGGCCCTTTCCTGTTCCAACATGACTGAGCACCAGTGCACAAAGCAAGGTCCATAAAGACATGGATGATCGAGTTTGGGGTGGAGGAATTTGACTGGCCTGCACAGAGTCCTGACCTCAACCCGATTAGAACACCTTTTGGGATGAATTAGAGCGGAGACTGCAAGCATGGCCTTCTCGTCTGACATCAGTGCCTGACCTCACAAATGCGCTCAAGAATGGTCAAACATTCCCATAGACACGCTCCTAAACCTTGTGGACAGCCTTCCCAGAACAGTTGAAGCTGTTATAGCTGCAAAGGGTGGGCCAACTCAATATTGAACCCTGTGGACTAAGACTGGGATACCATTAAAGTTCATGTGTGTGTGGAAAGGCAGGTCGACCAATACTTTTGGCAATATAGTGTATATTGTTTTTCTTTTCTGAAGGAGCATTACCCATACAATTCATTTTGGCAGGTGTAACATTTATGGTCTTTCCTGTAGGAACTCAGGTGATGTCCTTGAAACCTTTAACTTCTTAGAAAGTGCAGATGACAGCGATGAAGAGGATGAAGGAGACATTATAGAAGAAGTCACTGATGGGAAAGACCAACAACGATTAAACAAAAAACACAAAGTGAGCAAAAGTTACCTTTTGTATTATGCTATAGCAATTCATACCGGTGTATGTTGCTTTCCCCAAAAAAGGTTCAGGTGCACCATTGGATGTACAGAGGTGTACGCTAATGTGCAATGTGACACACCAGGCAAGTGTGGACCCTGCCTTAGGGAAGCACATTTTTAAAGTATTGTAACTTCTACTCTGCCAACCAGAGGCAAACCTAACACACAAGTCATTTAATTGAAGCATGATGATATGTGGCTTTTTTTTTTTTTATGGTGTGTTATGTCATTTGTGTTTATTTGTAAAAGGTGTTTTTAACCAGCTCGGTGTGTTACAAACTCCCACAAAATCTTTAATGAAGTACGGAGGGTGTGCATAGCATGCCCTATGCCTCTCTCTAAGTGTGGATTCACACATGTGCGGTGCTAACTGACAAAGTAGTTGTAGTTGCGCTTCAGGTCAGGTTTTAGATCTGATCAGGTCAGGATTTTATCCTGTTCACAACGGAATGACGTGCAATTCAGAAACATTCCTATAGAAATCAAATGGCCTGTATTCACACCTGTGCCGGAGCGCACTGCCCACAAACCTGACAGGACTCTTTCTCAATTCGCACTGAATCCACACTCCGGCTGCACCAGATATATGTGATCAGGCACAATAGAAAGCAGTGTTCTTTCACATGTCATGCCAATTGGATGTGGTTCAAAACGCATCCAGCTACATATGTGTGAAACGGCTCTCACTGTTCTTAGTGGCAATTTCTTGTTAAAATGGTAGCGGGACTAGCTACTGCTGCCAAACATGACTTTCTGAACAGTGATGTAAAGTAACATGATTGCTACTTTGTATTCACTGTCAATTGTATGAAAATCAAATAGACCTTTGATGTGCATATGAAAGCAACCTTTCAAGTGAAGTGAAAAAAGCAGCTGTGTGTGTGATTTTGTTTTGTGTTTTTTTTTTTTTTTTTTCTGTTTTTGTTTTTTTTCTTTGAATAAATGTGTCACACAAAAACAAATTAAAAGGACAGGTTCACATTTAGCGACATGTTATTTGCATGTTCAGGGTGCAAAGTTTTGCTAAGCACTTGCCCCCACCCCCCAATTATAGCGACCAGGGATCTCAACACACACCCACACACACACGCACACTTCATTGTGATCTGTGACCAAAGAAACTACAAATCCCATCTGGCACGGTTACTTGCAGTTCTCAAAGGACTGCGAGGGCACTAATTAGTGCGCTGTATAGTGCCCTCATGTTCCATTTATGCTTCCTATAGCTAAGTAACTGACAGCCTATATGAAAGTACAGGAAGAGAACAGATTCCCAATTGGATTTATGTCTGGACTTTGACTGGTCCATTCTAACACATGAATATGCTTTGATCTAAACCATCCCATTGTAGCTGTGCCTGTATGTTTAGGGTCGTTGTCCTGCTGGAAAGTGAACCTCCACCCCAGTCTCAAGTCTTTTGCAGACTCTAACAGGTTTTCTTCTAAGATTGTCCTGTATTTGGCTCCATCTATCTTCCCATGAACTCTGACCAGCTTCCTTGTCCCTGCTGAAGAAAAGCATCCCCACAATGTGATGCTGCCACCATCATGTTTCATGGTGGGGATGGTGTATTCAGGGTGATGTACACCCCCCCCCCCCCCCACATAGCGTTTTGCTTTTAGGCTAAAAAGTAACATTTGATCTCATCTGACCAGAGCACCTTCTTCCACATGTTTGCTGTGTCCCTCACATAGCTTCTCGCAAACTGCAAACCGGACTTCTTATGGCTTTCTTTCAACAAAGGCTTTCTTCTTGCCACTCATCCATAAAGGCCAGATTTGTGGAGTGCACAACTAATAATTGTCCTCTGTGGACGGATTCTCCCACCTGTGCTGTGGATCTCTGCAGTTCCTCCAGAGTTACCATGGGCCTCTTGGCTGTTTCTCTGATTAATGCTTTCCTTGCCTGACCTGTCTGTTTAGGTGGACCGCTATGTCTTGGTTGGTTTGCTGTTGTGCCATTCCATTTTCGGTTGATGGATTGAACAGTGTACCGTGAAATGTTCAAAGCTTGGGATATTTTTTTATAACCCAACTCTGCTTTAAACTTCTTCACAATTTTATCCCTAACCTTTCTGGTGTGTTCCTTGGCCTTTGTGATGCTGTATGTTCTCTAATAAACCTCTGGGGGCTTCACAGAACAGCTGTATTTATACCGAGATTAAATTACACAAAGTTGGACTTTGTTTACTAATTAGGTGAATTCCAAAGGCAGTTGGTTCCACTAGATTTTAGTTAGATGTATCAGAGTAAAGAGTGCTGAATACAAATGCACACCACTCATTTTTCACATTTATTTGTAAAAAAATTTTTCGAAAACCATTTATTATTTTCCTTCCACTTCACAATTATGTGCCACTTTGTTGGCCTATCATATAAAATCCCAATAAAATACATTTACGGTTTTGGTTACAAGGCGGTGATGGCGGGCATTATGACTGACGTTGGATCTACTGCGGGGGACATTCTTTTAGTTAGCTTTTTCTTTTAATAAAGGACTTGTCAAAGACCGTGTCCACTTTTTTTTTTTTTTTTTTTTGCACACTACACTTTTTGTGAATGTGTAGGGGTACCATACTCATTCAGTTGGTGGGGCCGGGATCTGGGGGCTTCCAGGTTCCGATAAGCCCTTTGCCCGCAGACCCCCACAGCCACCGGCCAGGGTTGTGGGGAGGAGGTCTTTCTCCCCATCAACATGAAGACAAGGCTCTTTGGGAGGGGAGCCCCCCTGCCCCAAAGCACCCCCCCATGTTGAGGGCATGTGGCCTGGTATGGTTCAGGAGTGGGGGGGTGGCGCTAGCCCCTTTCCTGACCTGCTCGGCTGCATGCTCAGATAAGGGGCTGGTATGGATTTTGGGGGGGACCATCACGCTATTGTGTGTTTTTTTTGTTTTTTTTAATTGTGACGTGGGAGTTCTCCTCAAAATCCATACCAGACCCGAAGGGCTTGGTATGAATGGGAGGGGGTCCCCACACCAATTTTTTTTTTTTTTTTTTTTTAATTGCCGGCAATTCTTTTACATTCAGCTGTCAGTGGGGAACCCTGCTGACAGCTGAAACATTAACACATTTTTGTCACTACTAAAATACAGCATGACTTGATAAAATAACTCATGCGGTATATTAGTAGCGTTTACTTTTTCTGACCTCCGGAACTGATTAATTGGTTTTCAGTGCAGTGCTATGGGAAACAGTGTTTCGGTTTATGAATTTTTCGCTATACAAATTTTTTGCTATACGAAAAGTCCTGCAGATCGAATTAAATTCGTAAACCGAGGTATTACTGTATATACCATTGTTTGTAGACAGGTTGGCCTAAATTTATGAAAAAGATTTGTTTGCTAAATTTTATAACAGATTAAGAATGTTTGTTTATTCCATTATTTTTCCAATTTTTTTGGTATTATACCAAATTAGAAGAAACCTGGTGGTGATTAAATACAACCGAAAGAAAGCTCTGTCTCTGAAAAATGGTGAAAACTTCATGTTGGTATAGTGTTGCACCACTGAGTAATTGTGGTTAATCTTGATTTTTGTGAACCTGTTGGCTGTTCTTTTTGTTGCTCGGGGATGTCTCATGGTCTGTGAATACAAGTACTCTACAATTACAGTAATAGAAATTTGACCTTCCTGTAAATTCCTTATCTTGTTGTACAATGCAGGAAGCAGGTCTCTCCCCTCTGTGCTTTTCTCACTACTTGTGGTCCATTCACAACAGATGCAGTAGGACTGTGCTGAGTGGTTACTCCAGCTCAGTCCTACTGCATGATAAGGCGTAATACCTGGTCTTCCGTGTGCTCAATTCACACCAACACATTGCGGTGGTGTGCGGGCATGGTGCGCTGAAACAGTAGTGCATGCTCTATTTTTTTTTTCAGCACAGCATGAGGCACCGCATGGCAGCAAGTTGTGCTTAATGAAATGTCTGTGTGACATTTAAAGTTTGTTTTTGTGTGATTCCTACTGGACTGCACTGCACACCAGCCACTACGTTAAAGCGGTGGCTGGTGTGAATGGACCCTTATTGTTTGCATTCTCAGAGTGGGCAGGGGTATAATGAGTGTGCACTAGGGGTGGCCTTGGCATGTGTTTTTTTTTTGTTTTTTTTTTTTTATGTTATGAATAACAAATCCTGTGCCCTATACTGTAGACCAGGGGTGGGCAAACTTTTTGACTTGAGGGCCGCAATGGGTTCATATATTGGACCCGGGGGCCGGACCAAGAGTAGATGAATGATGTGTATGTGTCATCCATAGTAAGTATAGTAATATTCCCCCATAGTAAGCATAGTAATTAATCCCCCATATAGTAATTCATCCCCCATATAGTAATTCATCCCCCATATAGTAATTCATCCCCCATATAGTAATTCATCCCCCATATAGTAATTCATCCCCCATATAGCAATTCATCCCCCATATAGCAATTCATCCCCCCATATAGTAATTCATCCCCCCATATAGTAATTCATCCCCCATATAGTAATTCATCCCCCATATAGTAATTCATCCCCCATATAGTAATTCATCCCCCATATAGTAATTCATCCCCCATATAGTAATTCATCCCCCATATAGTAATTCATCCCCCATATAGTAATTCATCCCCCATATAGTAATTCATCCCCCATATTAATTCATCCCCCATATTAAGTCCCCAAGTCCCCCCTGTGTCAATTCACTTACCTTTGCTCCGCGCGTTCCTCTTGTTCCTCTTGTTCCCGTGCCGTTCGGTGTAGCATGAAAATCTGTCTCCTATGAGGATCTGTCCCCCTCGACGTATCTGCGCATGTGCCAGTTTCAGGCATTAGCAGCCGATCGGCGATCTCCGGCACATGCGCAGATACGTCGAGGGGGGACAGATCCTCATAGGAAACAGGGCGGACTGTGAGAGGAGCCTAGCGGGAGCCTAGCTCCGCGAGCCGGATTAAAAGGTCCGCCGGGCCGTAGTTTGCCCATTGCTGCTGTAGACCAAGATAGTGGCAATCACAGTGTGACCGTTGGGAAAACACTGGAAATTTTCTTAGCATCCTGTGAAGCATTTTAAGTCCCCCCACCCCAGATTTTGATTTAGACTGTGTTCTATGAGTTGTGTCAGTACTGCACAGGTAGAAAGCTGTAGGGTTTACATAGGTATTAGGATGTAAATGTGGTTTATCGGGTTGAAGTTTTTTTGTGTGTGGATGTCTCATTACCAGTCTCTTATGCACAAGAACTATCACTTGCACCCAAAATGTACAACATTTCAGACATTTAAAGCCGTTAAGGCTGCATCTCATTAACTCTAGTGACACAGATGGGGAGAAAAAACTGATCATTAGATAAGTTTTGGTTTTATGTTCTGTTCTATCACAGAGGGATGCATACTTTCTCCAATCATATTGTTTGAAGGCAGTCTATTAAATAGGCTAATTTTTAACAGCATCTGACAGTGAATTTGCTTTATTTTTAATGTAAGTGATTAGTATCACGCAATTAGACTTTAAAGAACAAAAATGTAGTATAATGCAGCCTTAGATGTAGTGGCTGGATTTATTTCTTTCAGTTTTTTTTCCAATTTTATCTGGTGATCCTACCAGTAACCTAATTCTTGTCTCTACTCCTACAAAGGAGGTAGGTTTTCTATTGTTCATTGAGGTAACCTGGACAGGACTAAAGGCTGCTTGAGATAACCCTACAGAGTACACAAGGCAGAACTGATAATTGATCGCTCTAGCAGGTATTATTTGAACGTGATAAACTGATATGATGATGCAGGAGTACACTGGGTAGCCTTGGTTTATCCAAAACTGAACTCTCATCCTCCACGAGCAAACTTCTCAATCCTCAAAGACCTTTCACTTTGCCTTCTCATCCAGTCTGTGGTCAGTCAGTTCAGTCTTGAATCATCTTTCATTTGAAACCGTTACTTCACTCCATCAGCCTCCTCACCTTTTCTTTCTTACTCACAGCATTCCCTTAAATACAGTATTGTTGTAATCATCTGCTAACATTTTGCATTTTAATGTCTAAGGCCCCATTCACACTAGTACTTTTTTCTGTGTCTGAGGTTGAACTTCAGTGCATGACAATATAAATCACATTTTTTATGGTGCTTGTTAAAATCAATGCAATATGATGCAGTGTGATTTTTGAAAAGGTGCATGTGCAGCATAGTGTGTTTTTTGGCTCATAGATTTGAGTGGGAACACTCATGTACATTTGTTTTTGACAGCATTTTGTTTGGCAGTTTCTTCCCCCTACAAAAAAAGCATGAAGCGTGAAAGAACATTAAAAAGCTTGCAAAAACATGCTATGTAAACTCATTGAAAAACACATAATTATGCAACAACACTTATGTGAACATTCTAGTCCATTGTTGTGTGCATGTGTGTAATAACCATTGTGTCGCACACATTACTGGTACTAATTAATAACCAAGAGATCAGAGTGATATCTATCTGTGGACTCTATTGGTGGTTTTTTGAGAATTTGTTCTAACTGGTCTCTGCAGAACAAGGGACTTTGATATGATTGATCCTTTAAAGGTGTTTCAACTAACAACTTTTCAGTATAGGCAGAGTTGCACACTGGGTAGTTTTCAAATCTTTTTTTCGGATATACTTTATCCAATTTGGACAAGCTTTCTTCCACAGGAGAGCACCAGCCACCATGGACTTCTATTGATGTTTATTCATATGCTCATGAATACAGTTAGACTTTTTCAATACCTGGTATTGGAGGCAACATCCTGGTTGATGCTGTTCCATCTTCTATGTTATCAAGTTTGCTTCTGTGTGTTTACCATGTCCTTTAAAGGATATCCTAGTGCATCTAAACTCAAAAACAAAAATGTAATATGTTGCCTTAAACCAGTTCTTAGGTGCGGTGGCTGTATTAGTTTTCCTTTTTCAGTCATTACAGACCAAAAGAGATAAAATTGCAGTTTTTTTTAGGATTTTCATAATTGCAGACAGGTATACTTATTTCCATGTTCTGACTGATTTATATTTAGATAAGTAATCTAACATACTATGCACTCATGCTTTAGAGTTTCTGCTCTTGTTCACAGATTGGAAATGAAGGTTTAGCTGCTGAACTTGCTGAGGATACAGAAGAAGCACTAAAAGAATTTGACTTCCTTGTGACAGCAGAGGATGGAGAAGGAGCAGGTGAAGCTAGAAGTTCAGGAGATGGCACTGAGTGGGGTAAGAAGAGCAAAGTCAGCCCTTCATTTTAATTCTTGTTTATCTAAATCTGATATATGTGATTGATATGTTGCTATGCAGAGAATATGCCAAATAACTTGGACTAGATAAAGGAAGTCTGCAAAACTGACAAAGCTGCCTTATGTTGACTGGCAAAAAAAAAAAAAAAAAGTTGGCTGCTCTACATTAAAGGATTCTGGGCCAAAGCAATTTCTGTATAAAGTGCCACCCAGGAGTAAATGTGAATAATTGGGACATACTTGTCACTCTTTTTGTGCAAAGTAAATAGTGCTTAATCAGATGCTGGCCCAGTGGTGTCAGTATTTACTTTTCCAAGTCATGGTGATTATTATTTTGTCCTTCGATTAAACTAATGCTAATATAATCATATTCATATAATCTGATCTGTTCAATATTATAAAGTGTAGTGGTGTTGGCGCTTAGGAAAAATTGGTGCATGCCTCTAATCGTTCAGTAGACAAATCTACTAGAGTAGTCTGTGCTCACTGTTTCTGCCTTCCAGCAGATTCCATTCTTATTAACCACTTGCCCTCCTGAGGATTTACCCCCCTTCCTGACCAGGCCAATTTTTGCTTTACGGCGCTGCGTTACTTTGACAATTGCGTGGTCATGCAATGCTGCACCCAAATTAAATTTACGTCCCTTTTTTTCCCCCCCCAAATTGAGCTTTCTTTTGGTGGTATTTGATTGCCTGTGTTTTTTTTTTTTTTTTTTTTTTTTTTTTTTTTTTTTTTTTGGGGGGGTTTTTTTTTTGCGCTTTAAAAAAAAAGACCAACAATTTTGAAAAAAAAAAAATATTTTTTTGACTTTTTTCTATTAAACATGTCCAGTAAAAAAAATTTAAAAAATCAAATTTCATCAAATTTTAGGACATGTAAAAAAAAAAATCCCAATATTAAATGTGTAAATTAATTGGTTTTACGTGAAAATTACAGCGTCTACAAATGGCGGTGTGTATGTACTGGGATTTTTTTTTTTTTTTTAAATTATTTTAACTAGTAATGGCAGCGATCAGCGACTTATAGCGGGACTGCCGCAAACATTCTGACACTGAGAGGAACTGTCTTGGTGTCACTGACATCCCCAGCGACACCAATACAGTGATCAGTGCTGAAAAAAAAAAAGCACTGCCACTATTAATGGTACTGGGCAGGAAGGGGTTAACATGAGGGACAATTAAAGGGTTAACTGTGTGCAGGGAGTGTTTTACTGGGGGCTGGTGTCTGTGCTTCACTGTAAGCACACTGCTGTGCAGAGCCATTAAGAGCAGTGTGCCCGAGCTGACGCCTCCTCCCCATCGGAGATGCTCTGTAATCACCGGCTGGGACCCTGTGAATGACAGCTGCGGCCGCAAATTGGAAAAGCAATATCTTGTATGTGATTTTGCGCACCCCTGCCGCCCTGTAGCAGTATATCTGCTATAGGGTGGCTGGAAAGCGGTTAAAATGGAATATACAGTATATTATGGGAGTAGGCATATTTGCTTATTGCATGCTTAGAGGTGCTCCAGTCTCTCTTGCCTCCCCTAAATACTGTAGCTGCTAACTTTTAATATAAGGACCTTTTACCTGCCCCTGGTTCCAGCGCTGTCCTCACCCAAGCCAGGTGAAACTGGTGATCACGACTCCTTTATACACTGCTGCGAGATCTGGTCACTACATAGCAACTCTCTGGATCATTCACTCCTCGGCACAAAGTTTAAAGGCTTTGTCAGGATCCTGGTGGATTAAAAGTGTGCCTGGAAAGTGACCTTCAGGTACTGGGCTCTGTATTGTAGTGTTGTGTACTGTTAGCTGCAGAGCCCCAGGCACGATTCTGTCTTTGAAGGTGCACTTCAGTAGGGTCAGTCAAGTTGAAGCACTAGGCGCTACCTATCCACTGAACTGTTGGGTGCGATGCAAATTTTCCATCACCGATGGTTTTTACTGAGGTAAGAGCTAAGGCTGAGGGATTGAATGCTAACATCATTCATTAGATGGAGTGCTGCAAGCTTTTTCCCACCATTCAACCCGAAGTAAGCATTATCCCTCTGCCACTCCAATTGAAATACCATGCGGATTTACTGTTTGTTTCCTCTGCCCCTGTACAAAAACTTGTTCATCGATGATCCTCAGCACCAGCTGCCCGGGTTTTTGAGTACTTGAGGCCTTGGCTTATGTTGCTCCTAGTTGCATTATCTTTGAACGCAACCTGTGTTCACTACAGCACACAGAGGACAGTCCCACTACCACAGGTTTCCTCAGCCCATGCTCCCCTTGTTCTGGTCTCACCAGAAGTGGACGTCTGGAAACTGGGCCCCCTATTGTCTTAGGAATGTCCTCACAAGAGTCTAACTCGTCTTCATCATGTTCTCCCCTATCTCTACAGTAACCTCTTTGATCACTTTGGACTTCCTATCTGCTTGTGATCAGAAAATGTGGCATTCTGTCCACAGAGTTTTTGAGCATGCTCTGGCACTTTTCTCTGCAGAGTCTGGCTCTGAATATCATGTGCTACCGAGCTCTTTTGTCATCGCAGTCTCCTGCACCTGACTCATATTTGCAGATAGTTGTGCGTAATACCCGTTTCATGGAACAGTTAGAGCAAGTGTCTGGTGCCTTGTGCTTTTAGTTGTGATGGTTTGTTACAAGAATCCAAACTTTTCTCGTGGGGACTGTCTGTGCAGATGTACAGGACACGTTGGCTGCCTGCTTGGGACACCGTCAAAACATCCATGGGGTGTCTGATCTGGTTTCCCTTTTAGAGAAGTTGTCTCTTTGGAACTGCCCCTGACACCGTCATTAGCACGGCAATGGGTGTCTTTGTTGTGCTGCTGCCTCAACGCAAGAGGTCTGTGGAGGAGGAATCTGCTTCTTTTACTACTTCTACTTTAGCTGTTCGGAAATGTAGGCCTTCTGAGTTTGCCTCCCATCCAAGCCATAGGGTTTTTTTAGTCAGCCAACCACTCTGGTAAGCCTATTGCATGTAGGTGCTCACCCAGCTCTATAAATGGAGGGTTGTTTGCACAACCGGATGGCTGCTTGTTTAGCTTGCCGCCTTGGCATTCTGATGATTTGGTCACCCCTTGTAGCTCACAGGCTGAGCGCTGGTGTCAGTAGGAGGAATAGTGCCCCATCGGCCCTTTTGGTAACCCTTCTCCCTCTGCAGTTAGTTTGGTATTTAGGTGGGTTCCAGCCTCAAGGGTTACTTGACTGGGTTGCTGGTGGGTTCCCACAGTCTTATGAGTCGGGATCAGTGATTGAGTGGAGACATTCCCCTTGGTCGCATCTCTTCTCTCGTATGCAACACCATCCTTTGAGATCTCCCCTTGGTCGTGTTAGTTCCTCTTGCTATGGTTCTCATCTGTCTCCAGTTGAGGCATTGGTCCTTCAAGGAATTTTGTGTTCTAGATGGTTTCCGGTACCTCCTGTAAAACCTTTTTTTTTTTTTTTTTTGAGTACATCGATGGACACAGGTCCCCAACCCCCTGTGTTTTTTTGCTGGCCCTGTGTATTGCTTTCTCAAAAAACAGAGGCATGCTGGGTTGAGGAGGAGTCAGTTGGAGGGTTGGCTTATGAATTTTTGTTTGCCAGTGTCTCAGCCTCCTTTAGGTGTCAGTATAACTCAAATTCCCATACCCCTCAAGGTATTTGAAGAAAATCTTACATGGCAAGTTCAAAAATCATGTTCTTTATTTCATCATATTTGACAATACAATCAAATACACTTTTAGTATCCTAATTTCCAGCCACAGTATGTTTCCATTTGCTTAGGTCAGGGGTGGGGAAACTTTTTGACTTGAGGGCCGCAATGGGTTCATATATTGGACCCGGGGGCCGGACCAAGAGTAGATGAATGATGTGTATGTGTGAATTAATATAAATTAAATTAAAATTTGTAACATTAAATGTTTAGATTAATTTAAGGTAGAAAAGCATAAAAAGAGTTATTTTACAAAACTTTTATGCTCCCCACTAGCTGCTGGCCGGCCCAGCCACTACCATGCCATCCATAGTAAGCATAGTAATATTCCCCCATAGTAAGCATAGTTATTCATCCCCCATAGTAATTCAATCCCCCATATAGTAATTCATCCCCCCTATAGTAATTCATCCCCCCTATAGTAATTCATCCCCCCTATAGTAATTCATCCCCCCTATAGTAATTCTTCCCCCTATAGTAATTCATTCCCCATATTAATTCATCCCTCATATAGTATTTCATCCCCCATAGTACTATTCCCCCCCAAGTAGTAAGCGTTCCTCTCGCCGTGTTTCTGCGCCGTTCCGGTCTTCAGGGCGGACTGTGAGAGGAGCCTAGCTCCCCTCACGTTCGTCACGCTGCCCCGCCTACACACATCCTGACAGCCAATGTTTGCCTGCCCTGGCTGTTTTTTTTATATCACGCTCTGCGGGCCGGATTAAAAGGTCCGCCGGGCCGTATACGGCCCGCGGGCCGTAGTTTGCCCATTGCTGGCTTATGTGTATGTTTAATGGATAAATAAGTGTCCCTGTGGCCAAGTGTACTTAACAATATGAAAGCCCACCATTTTGCCATAAACGGCACCGCTTCCATGTTACTGCACGCAGGTCACCAAACACAACTTTGCTAAATTCAGATAGAGGGAAAGAGGGCAAGGAAGGCCCGGGATAAGAGGATGTTCTAGTGTCACATCCAATATACAGTATTTTTATGCGTTTAACAGGCTCAACACGTGTCAGATATGAAAGGCCTTACCAATCAGACGACTTAAGTATATGTGAATCCTTACCTTGTAAAACAACCCATTCAGTTTAAAATGGAAATTAAAGACAAAGTGTGTGTGTGTGTGTGTATATGTGATAAATATATATTTTATATTTCTTTTTTTTTTTTATATATATATAAGTGATTACATCACCCTTCTCACCAAAATGAAAAAAAGAAATAAAGCCAAATATACACTTCAACCAGTGGAAAGTCGAGTGATTCTGTATAGTGTAACATTTTTATTTGTATACACTAAACTATTCTTTGTTTTTAGTAGTTAAAAGGCTAACCAACTAGTTACTAAGTGCAGAACAAGCAAGTCAGTAACTGAAGTTTGCTGTCAAGTTTTTAAATATATTTGGGGCAGAGCCTAATACTACCTCAAAATATAAATTTGGGGACTTACTGTATATTCATCATTTCAGCATTGATTGTTTACTAACTTTCCTGTCATTGTTTGTAATGATAATGTTGCACAACATTGTATAATGCATGTTGCTTTACAATTCTTGTAAATAGTAGCAAACATTTATATGCACTGATCTAAACTCTTGCTGCCTAACCTACTAATAGTTGGAATTAACATAGTTACCTCCATTGTAACTGAAGTTCACACTAACATACTGATCATTTGTTAACATGTCCTCTCTCTTTTACTAACATGCTGCATGCAGACAAGGATGTCCTGTCCCCAACTGCTGAGGTTTGGGATGTAGACCAGTCTCTGATAAATAAACTGAAGGAGCAGTACACAAAGGAACGCAAGGGAACAAAGGGGGCTAAGCGTAAGTGGAGATTATGACTCAAACTGTATAAGTCATTCAATGATTTGCGAAATTGTCTGTTTTTGGTATGAGCTATTGAGATGTGGGAATGCAGTAAGGACATTGTTGAAAACTGCTCTGCAGAGGAGTATAGAAAATATATCATTACTCACAGCAAGCATTTTCAGATGGTATTTTCTGTGGGTTTCGACAAATAGGTTTTGGTTGGTGTAGGGAACATTTCTACACATTTCCTGTATTTTAATAGACATTTATATTTTGATATCTAACAACACTTTACAAAGTATCACTTTAGAGTAAGGTCTTAAAACCTAAGTGCAGCCAAAATGGGCACAAGGGACATAACGTACAGTCAGTAGGATGTGTCTTTTTTGTGCTATTTTCTCTTTTGTTAAGGTCTTCCTCTGTCCTAGCCCCCACTGTAATCTTCTGGTGCAGCAGGGGTTTATACTACTGGGCTATCATAGGCTTTTGTCAAGAGCTTATGCCTGCCCTTTCTGTCCATCTCTGCCATTCATAGAAGCCATACTACAGCTTCTATGAATGGAACACAATCTATGATTGGAATGGTTAGAGCTACTTGCCTGTTCTCCATTCTTAGATCCTGTTACAGAAGCTGTAGTACGGATCACTTCCTCTATAGCAGATGAGAAATTGGCACATCCTACTAGCTGTAGTTATGTCCCTTGTGCTGTTTTTTTTTTTTTTTTTTTTTGGCTGCAGTTAGGTTTTAATGTCTACAATACAATACAGCTTATGATTATTATTACAGGTACTTGTATAGTGCCATCAATTTACACAGCACTTTACATATTTATTGTACATTCACTTCAGTCCCTAACACTCGAGGCGTACAATCTAAGGTCCCTAACTTACATTCATACATACACATACTAGGACCAAATTAGACAGAAGCCAATTCACCTACCAGCATGTCTATGGAGTGTGGGAGGAAACCGGAGTACCTGGAGGAAACCCACACAGGCACAGGGAGAACATGCACACTCTAAGCAGGTGGTGCCGTGCTTGGGATTTGAACCAACAACCATAGCACTGCCAGGCGGAAGTGCTAACCATTTAGCCACTGTGCTGCCTACAGCTAGATGAGTCTTGATCTGGATTTGTGAAGCTTCGGTAGTACCCTTAATAATTTGTTATATGTTATGAAACTACATAAAAACTATTGAGTTATGTTCTCTGTAGGCTGTCTTAAATATCATTGTGGACATTGACCAAGATTACTCTGATTTCCATATAGAACTCACTTGTACATATTTGTACCACTGACAGAAGCTGAGCTTAGGGCCTCATGCATACTGGCAGTTTAGCCCCAGGACATGCGGCTTCTGCATTTTAGGTGGAAGTGGAAGGTACAGGCACACCATGCAGCACCAATGCAGCCTGTAAATGTCTGAGAGGCTTTTACAGCTACTGCTGCTGGACTGTGCACCAAGCTATTCTTATATATGTGCCTACAAACAAATGCCCAGAACACAGACTGCTTGCCGCAGCAGCTATCAACCTCTCATAGACTTTTACACTTGCACCTAAACCAGGGGCGGACTGACCATTTGCAAACTTGGGCACTGCCCGAGGGCCTGGGGTCAGTAGAGGGCATCATGAGATGCCCCTGGTACCTTTTTTTTTTTTTATAGGCTTTTTTGAGTTTGGGCAAGGACACAGGGGCCCCATGATCCCCTATTGGCTGGGAGCCCCATGAGTTGTCAGTCCGCCCCTGACCTAAACACAAGAGCCTCATGCATTGGGGCTATACAGTCAACATGCATGAAGCCTAATTTAGGGAAAACCGCTTTCAGCATGTATGAGCCTATTGTGCTTTCTTCATGCTGTCTTGTAGAACAGTATGTACAATACAAAAGTATTTGCACTCCTTGCGCTCTTTCCTAGACAGGTGTAGGCTGGGCATCCATGTGCATGTGCCCTGATTCAGTATACAGTAAAAGGCTTACCGGTCATACAATTTTAGTTTTATGAATTTAATTTACAAAGATATTCTGCCTAAAGTAAGAGTATTAATTTGGTAGTCAAAGGTCAACGCTGTATACTAGATGGAAATAGATGTGCCCCTTATGCTCTTGGCTTATTTGGTAACCAAGGGAGATAAATTGTGGTAAATACCAGCTATTGTGTTATTTCCAAAGCAGCTTCAGAGTAGAAGGGGTGATCTATTCAATGCGAACCAACACTGTTACTTTACAGGGGTAAACCGGACGAAATTGCACGATATGATTGCAGACCTGGGTGATGAGGATCTGTCCCACATCCCGCCAGGCATCCTGAGTCCGGCCCGGTCACCAACCAGAATAACAGATCATGAAGGTGGGAGGGCAGAGGAAGGTACGCACCCCTTGGGGAAAATTCCTTATGCTTCAACTTGTTACATGTTCTGATTCCTTCATTGTTGTCATGTCTTTTGCAATGTTTCAACTTAAGGTTATTTATCAGTATTCCTAATTTTGGGTGTTATGGTAAGAAATGCATTTTATATATTAGACCTTTTCTTGTTTTTCCCTAACAAAGTGCTTTTTGTTGTTATAGCTGAGCCTATAACTTTTCCATCTGGTAGTGGGAAGTCTTTCATAATGGGATCCGAGGATGTCCTTGAGAGCGTTTTAGGACTTGGAGATTTAGCAGACCTCACTGTGACCAATGAATCAGACTACAGTTATGATGTAAGGAATTTGATAAATATTCAGTTAAACATGCTAATGTGTGTTTGTTTTATTTATTTATTTATTTTTTTTGGGTGGTTGTTACATGTTGAGGACACTCATGTGGATGTCAACTGGTTGTTAACACAGTGCACAGCTGGCGGCTCTCAAACCCAGCTGTCATGGTTAATGTTCCCACTAATGAACAAAACCAATCTTTGTGCTTCTTTATGTTTAGTATGTCAGTTAAAACATAGTGATCACATGAAAGCTGACAGTCAATTCACAAAATAACCTTCAGGATACATATTTTACTGCAGTCTTAAGGTGTCAGTGTGCATTTGTGTAATACTCTAATTGTCAGATAAGTACAGTATTTAAAAGAGAAGTATAGTCTGGCAAAAAAAAACAAAAAATTATACTCACCTAGGAGGATGCATCAAATCCGATGCTGCACAGAGAACTGAGTGATCAAAGACTGCGATCACTCATTTCTCCCCCCCCCCCCCCCTCCACTCTGAGCAGAGAGCTGGTACTGTCAGTCTCTAGCCCTTTGCTCTGTGTCTTGCCAGGCTCTCAGTGGATCGCTGAGAGGTTGAGCCAAGTTGGCAGTCCAGGGTTATGGGTGGATCCCGATCATGTGGTCAGTTTTTTTTCAGAACCTGGACTGGCTGTTGGCTGAAAACAGATCACTGGAGTGCAGTACTAACCAAAGCTTTAGCTATAATACTTGAAAAATATGTAGTTTCCTGTTCCTTTACCATCTTTTCTAAGCTTTGATTCTTCCATCTAAGACAGTATGAATACTTCTCAAATTCCAAACTGGCTTTAAAGTGATCTCAAATGCAAGTCCTGTTCTGTGTTTCTTGTTTCCTAGTATGAGAACTATATATTAGTCATTATAGATATTTAGAATTAGAAGCTGCTTTCTGAAATGTAATTCCATATCTTACAATATGTCTCTATATCCAGATTCAAACCCTGCATTCCACAGCCATCAAAAATGCTTTTAAAAATGGATGTTGCAAGCAAAACACAGATAAGAATGCACATTAGCCCTAAAAAAGGAGGAAAGGGTGGTTAAGGTAGGTAGAATGGGTTAGGCAAAGCTTGTAGCCGATAAAAGAAGGAAAGCAAATCCCAGACAATTTCCACTGAGGGGTCTTGAGCAGGGTGAGTTCAAAATGCAGATAGATGATTTAATTTAGGAGTTATCTTGTTGAAGACGAGAACCATACTCTCCGGTGAAGAGTAGAACTCCTGTCAATAGTGTTAAGTCATAGTGGGTGGAGATGTCTGTTTCTATATAATAGGGATGGTGGCTCTGGCAGCATTTATTAAGTGGATTAATAATGAGTTTTTGTATTTAGCTAGAGGGTTGGTAAGAGGAGCAAGAGCTCTTTCGGAGTGTTGTGACATCTGTAAGTTTGTACAGAAGTCCAAGAAGAGGGCATTCCCAAAATATGTGCAAGAGTGTACCCCTCTGCTGTTTGCAGTGCCTGCACTCAGGTCAAATATGGGGTTACATTTTGTTCAGGAAAACTTTATCTTCAAGACTAACATAGACTACCAGGTTGTACTTGAAAAACAAAAATGAAATAGCAGACTAAACAAACACTGGCCAGTTACCTTTTTTAAAATGTATTATGTGAGGAGGACAAGCAAAGAGGCAAAAAGAACACAACTAAGTACATTGGACTCAATTCATATAGCTAACAAATCAGGATAAGTGACATTTTTATTTTCAGTTGCATTCAATGAAATTTGAAAATTAGTCACATGAATAAAATAAAGAAACTTATCCTTGAGTTGTGGCCCATTCACACTAGCTGCATACTAAAACGACTCGTGTGCGTCTGCTGGTGGCGTTGTTACAGTGCAAGGCACTGTTTACTTTTTTTTTTTTAAGATAACAAATTTGTAATATTGAAATTTCAGTTAGATTTAATTCGTTCTATGCTCCACTGCAGTGCAGAAAATAATGGCTCTAATGAGCTTTGGTTCGTTGGGGAAAGATGCAACATGTCTGCATCTTTCTGCAATGCACTGCAACCCATTTGAAGGCAGGATTGTAGTGTAAAAAGGACACATAGAAAACAACGGTTGTGTGGTTACTGGCGATAATCAAATGCAGGAAACCATCAGACACCTCATACAGTGTGAACTGGTCCTTAAGGTTTTGTGAATTGAGCCTATTGTGTTTCTATTCTAGTGCTTGACTTGCTCTAGTTTTGCAGGTTATTTTATTTTTTGGTATGGATTGGTTTATTATCTAGTATACATCTACTACTGCATGTTGTGCCGAACCTCTCTCGTTGCTATATATACCTGGATCGTTTTTCTGTATCCTTGTGAAGTGCTTATCTAACCAATGTTGCAAGACAGGAAATTGCACTACTACAGAGTTTAAACCAGCACCCTTTTTCCTTCTCTTGCTTTGTAGATGCCATCAAATAAAGATGCATTCAGGAAGACCTGGAACCCCAAATACACCTTAAGAAGTCATTTTGACGGTGTCCGAGCCCTGGCATTTCATCCTGTTGAACCTGTATTGGTGACTGCCTCTGAAGACCACACCCTAAAGCTGTGGAATCTGCAGAAGACAGTCCCTGCCAAAAAGTAAGTTTTCAGGTAGCATTTCAGGTGAGCATAGGATACAAAATACCTCAAATTATATGTTCTCAATCTTTCTCTCTGTTTAACAATAGCAGTAAGTTAAGTGTCTTTACATGTTGGCTGAAGGGCATAAAGATAAGTGTCATTTACACACAGTCCCCCACAGTTCACCTGTCTCCACTGATTTGTTATGTACTTACAGTGGTATTAAACCCAAAAGCAAACATTTATTATGTTGCAGCTTACTAATTTTAGATGTGATGGCTGTATTCGTTTTCTTTCATAGGCTTTCTTTTTTCTACTTTCACCTGGTGATCCGGCCAGTAAGTCTGTTGTTTATCAAAAGTACAAGCTCTCTTCCAGATCTGTCAGTTACAGGGATGAGACAAACCATTTAACACAGGCAGGGGTGCTTACAATGATCAGATTTTATTTATTTATGCAACACTTTTACTTACTGTATTTAAATCTTTTGGACATCTAACACTCCAAGCCCCCCACCCCCCCAAGGGGGCCAGTGCTACTGTTTAAAGGTGCCCCTACGCTAATTCATCCAGAGTGGGGACACTCTAATACAGAAGCTGTGCTTCTGGCCAGATCACCAGATGAGAACAGAGAGGAATTATAGTGTCTGGTTTAATACAGCTTTACATTACAGGATATTCAAAATTCTTCCATCAACTTTCAATTAAATCAGCAGCTTTTGCAGCACAAGTGCAGAACATTCCAGCCTCTAGGATAACTAAAAAAAAATATATCTAAAGCACTGTTCTAATAATTAGTGGCCATAAATATCAATGTGAATAAAAAAATACCTATAAACGACTAGAAGGGAAAAGAAAAATAAATCCAGCTAGCTTAGAGTGTCATTAAATATACACATTAAATCTATAAAATCTATCATTTAATAAATATGGACGTTAGATGTCATACCAAAGCACATTAGCATATTGTGTAATGTAAATCATCCACTGATCTAAAGAGCTATGGTAACAAAATATATAAAACAAAATCCAAAGTGTCCAGGAAATAAATGTGAGCCAATCCGTGTTATGGTACACCTCCGCAGTCCCAAAAAATGATGAAATGGTCACACTTCAATTTGAAAATAGTCTTCTTTCAAAGGTGATATCCTCACCTTATAGACCACCTAAAAGCTGATCAAAAACTACCAATCTCTGACATCTAATTGGCTGCTACATACAATTCCATTCAAAGAAGGGGGACAGGATACACAAATATTAATTGCACAAGCCTTTATTAAAACCAGCTTAAAGTGGTTCAAAAGGCTGAAGGGTTTTTTTTTTTTTTCTTTTTACCTCAATGTATTCTCTGCATTAGAGTAAAAAAACCTTCAGTATGTAGCTACCCCCCTTCCCTTATACTTACCTGAGCCTGATCTCGATCCAGCGATGTGCACAAGACCAGAGTCTCTCTGCTCTGTCCCTCCTTATTGGCTCAGACGCAGCAGGAGACGTCAAATGCCCCTGAGGAGGGAGCAGGGGTTGGGGCCAAGCCGTGAACATACAGTGCGGGGCTTGGGAGCGAGCATGCACAAGTGCCCCCATAGCAAGTGACTTTCTTTGGGGACACTCGATAAGGGGTGGGGGGGAAGGAGTAAGGAGCACCAGCGGGGGGCCCAAGGAGAGGCGCATCAAGCTTGCTTTGTTCAATACCATTACCCAATTACACAGAGCACTTAAGTATGACATGGTTTTTTCGTTTGTTTTGGTGTTGTGTTTTTTGTTTAAATCTAAATGTTTAGAATCCCTTTAAAAACATATTAAACATGCTCACATATTGCTGCGCTATACCCCAGCATGAAGATGTATGTTTGTAATGGAATCTAAGGTCCACATCGCTTTCTAGTATGGATATGTGTGTGTGTGTGTGGCCTCACATGCATGATGGCGTCACAAGGATCCAACTCTGCCTTAAGTCTGTGGGATGTTAGCGCACAGGCAGCATGGCACTACATTTTAAACTGGTTGGGCTACAGTTAGTGCAGGAGGCTTGGGGTTGATTTGTATTGGGGGGGGGGGGGGGGGGGCTAGGGGGATTTTTCAGTTAATGTGAATTTCTAATCTAAACCTTCTGGTGTTTTTGTTTGATACAATGTGGTAGGTATGTATTAGAGTAACATGGTTTTTATTCCTTTAGGAGTGCCTCTCTTGATGTGGAACCAATCTATACATTTAGGCTCACATGTAAGTTGCCTTTTATGTAACTGTTAGTACGGCATCCATTTTCAGCTAAATAACTAATATTCATACACAGTTCATTCTCTTCTGCAGTGGTCCAGTTTTGTCTCTTGTGATCAGTTCTAATGGTGAGCACTGTTATAGCGGTGGATTGGATTCTACAATACAGTGGTGGAAAATGCCAAGTCCCAATGTAGATCCGTATGACACGTATGGTATGTTGCATTACATTTCTTACCTGCACTTTTATGCTAAACTCCTCTAATCCACCCCCACCTTTCCTCAACTTACCTGCTTTACCAACCTCCCAACCTGGCAGAATCACCCTGCTGACAACAGTGCTGCAGCTATAAAGGTGTCACTACCTAAAATTATATAGTGCGTTACTGTTTCAACGCCAGTTTGTAGGTTAAAGTGTATCTTTAGGCAAAACCTTTTTTTTTTCTGTCAAGTTTTTTTTATTACGAAGTGGAAGCAATCAGAAGTACAAGTAACCTGGTTGAGAGCTTAAGCAAAAAATCAAACAGTTAATTAAATAAAGGAGGAAACCCTGTCTTCAGAGTTAAATTGAATTGTAAATTAGCATGTAAAAATTCAGGAATAGTCCAAACATAACTCCAAAAGAGAAAAGCAAGTCAACAGAAGCCACACACAAATCCACATATGCTACCTATTACAAAAACAGCAAAATTACTTTTATTTACATTAATCAGACCACATATATATTTATTACACTCTTGGTGTCATTTACAAAATGGCAATATATTCATTTTTTTCTGTTTTACCACTAGTCTACTGGGGCAGTTAAGTTTTTTGCACTCATTTTAAAGTTTGCATGTTTTTGCTAGAAAATACTTTAAAAATCCAATATGTTTATTATGGAAAGCAGAGACCCCGAAGAATAAAATAGTGGCAGTTTTTTCTTGTTTTTGTTTTGTTTTTTTTGTTTTTTTCCTTTCTGTCTTTTAAATGCAGACGACAGAGCAAACACATCTGTCAATATTTTTTATTGGTTACACAGCATCACCACAAGTTTATAGACATTGACAGGATATATAACAGTTGAAGTAAAAGTCTTGGTATCATAAACCTCAATAAGCTTAAGCAACTAAACTTGGTAAATGCACAAATAACAGTGATTTTGCGGCTTGTCAGCTGAGGTAGCAATAGGTCCTCTGTTTTAATAATATGTGGAAATGGAAAGTACCAAGGGGCAAAGAAGGGATGGAGGAGAAGAGAAAGAAAAATAATTAAATGGGGAGGTGGGAAGGGAGGTAGGAATGGTGGAGGGGAAGCGGTATATTCTCCTTAACCACTTCCTGTCTGGACACCTTTACCCCCTTCCTGTCCAGGGCAATTTTCAGCTTTCAGCGCTATCACACTTTGAATGACAATTGCGCGGTGGCGGGGGAAGGGGGGGAGGGGGGGGGGAGGGGGGGGAGGAGAAAAGCACGGATCATGCAACACTGTACCCATATGAATTTTTTGCTATTTTTTTGAGACAGATAAAGCTTCATTTTAGTGGTATTTATTCACCACTGGGATTTTTATTTTTTTTTGCTATGTAAATGAAAAAGTCCAAAAATTTTGAAAAGTGTTTTTCTTATAAAATTTTGCAAATAAATATTTCATCATAAATCTTGGCCAAAACTTATTCCGTTTATCTTTTTAGTAAAAAAAAAAATAAGCCAAATTAGTTTATAACCAAAAATTATAATTTTTAAACTTTTTTTTTTACATTCGTATTTTATTTTTTTATATATTTTTTTTTTTTTTACATACTGTCACCCTAGCAGTACAGTACTACTTGTGGGGGGTGATGTAAAAGCAATCATTTCTCCTTCTCTCTGTCTGCATTCTTGCAGCCATTGAGAGCTGCTGAGTGAGCTGTGATTGGTCACAGCTTGTCACATGGTACAAGGCTGTTGTGAATAGCCTTGTACCATGTGACCTCTGTGATCATTCACAGATTTCAAACGTAATAAGCACTGATGTCACAAGTGACATCTTTCTTACTACTTTGCATGTGATCACTGATTGGCCAATCAGAGGTCCCGTCCGATCAGTGTTTCGCTGTGTCCGGAGGACACAGCGGGCACTGGATCGCGGTGCTGCGCGCTCCCAGGGAGCGCGCACAAGCAGGGTGCGGGGAGGCCATTTATAAACAGCCACCCGACCCTGCAGTGCCACCACCTGGCCGTTTATATACAATGGTTGGACGGGAGGTGGTTATCACCACTCATCATTTAGGGCAGGAGCAGGGAATATAGTTGCAGTATTCAAGTGTCTCAGTTGCAATTTTTTTGTTTCACCATACTTGTGCAGCTATTTATCAAACACATAATTCTCTTAAGTTCATTGACGGACAAAGCTTCTCTTCATTCCTGACCAATAGGGGTTGTAGCACCACCTACAGGAGTAGAACACTAGCCAGAAAAAGAACTTGCACCTCCTATGGGCAGTCCTAGCTGGTTTAAAACCCTATCTCTACTTACTTTTTTTCACAAAGTTGCCTTACTGGTCACCATCAATTCTGTACGGCAGGTGTTGATACTGGCAGCCTTATCTTGCATGTCTTCCTGTCTGGCTTTACAAAAGGATAGTTGGTTCCGCTTCCTTGCCTAATTTCCGGCCATTGTCCTGTCTTCCTTGTGTTCCTGGCTGTCATATTCTCAAGAGGTTGTGTAGCTCTCCTTGGAGGTGGTCTGGGTTTCACTCCCTGTGCTCAGACAGCCCAAGAAAAGACACGGCGTTGGATTTGGAAGATGTTTGTGCATGCTCATGCCATAAAGGGTTGGGCTTATTCCTTCCCTGCTATGGCACTCTACACCAGGACGCTTGGGCCTCCTGGGCATTCCCTTATCAGGCATCGGTGTTTCAGGGTTTATGACTGCTACCTTATCGTCTGGGCAAACAGTTTCCAAAATGTTTTACGAAGTTTCTGTGTTTACATCTTTGGATGTTTGTTGGCCGCATGATTTTTCAAGCTGCTGATTAGGGCTCCTTGCTGCCCCTTTAGGGATTGTTATGGGTGGTTGGCAGGTTGCCTGGCTGCTGCAGTTGATTTTGATTTGCCCACCGATCATTGAAGCACTGCTTTGGGATGTCCCTATGGTCAAGAATGAAGAGAAGCTGTGTCCATCAATGAGCTTATGAGAACTGGATTTGTTGTTGCTCACCATAAAATGATCAGGAATGCCAGTATGGTGAATTGCTGTGATCAGGGCGCTGGTATGGCAGCAATCAGGTCGCTGATATAGGGTTGGTGTTCATGACGCTGGTATGGTGCGTGGCGGGGGTCAGGGTGCTGGTATGGTGCGTGGCGGCGGTCTGGGCACCGGTGTGGCGTATGGCGGTGTTTTACTTTGAGCACTGGTGACATTGGAATAGTTGACATAGGTGGCTGCACTTTTTTTTATTAGTATTTTGCTAGGGGCACTGATCAGGGACACGGAGGCAGGGCAGGCTGGCACTGCAGTCTGTGAGCGTGCATGCAGTGTGACAGGCTGCTGTGCACTCATAGGCTGCAGCAACTGTTCTCACAGAGATCTGCTGTGAGAGCAGAGAGAACAGATGTTTACATCTGGTTTCCTATCTTTAGCATGTGATTGCTGTTTTTGGACACAGCAATCACTTGGTACAAGATCATGTTCATCCAGACACAGCGGTAATGTGATCTTCTGTGTCCGGGGAGCACACCGATCACTGGGCACCTGGGGTGCTCTCTGTGAGCCGCACAAGAGCCTCCAATGCGAGCTGACGTGCAGGTACGTTGACCCACAACGGTGCCGCTGCTATCTATGGGCTAGGGGTGGGCAGGAAGCCGTTAAAAAAAACTTTCTTTTCTTCTTTTTTTTTTTTTTTTTTGCAAATGCTAAAATCTAATTGTAAAGTTAATGTTGCCCCATTTGCAGATCCTAGTGTTCTTGCTGGCACATTCAATGGACACACAGATGCAGTGTGGGGCCTTGCTCACAGTGGAATTAAAGATAGTCTGCTGTCCTGCTCTGCTGATGGAACTGTCCGGTTATGGAACCCACCAGAAAGCAAACCATGTGTTGGCACATATAATGGTAACAAAGGTAAGTAGTCCAATAACCCGTTTCTTTTCATTGCATGGTCATTCATTTGTTTATACATTTTTCCTGGTTCAGCCTTATGTTTGTGCAAACAATATGCAATGTTTGCATCTCTTATCACAAGAAGAAGGTAACAGTTTATTGAAGCATGAATTAGATAACCTTCTAATCGCCTAAAATATGACAAAATAAAAACATGTACAGTATATTCAGTACATCTCTGCAATAAATGCACATTTCCCCATGGTGTCCCTTGTATTCATCTTCTGGTGACAACTCAATGTTTAATTTCCCTTTTGATTCAAGTTTCATTGACAGTGGTCTCCAGGACAAACAGAATGGGCATCTCCATAGCAAGGATTCAAACGGCAATAAAAACCTTGCAGGGCTTCTACCCCCTTGTTATTCCATCCCAGCATACATTTTAAAAGCCCGAACGTGAGGAACAGTTCCCATAATTATACTGCATGTATATTGCCACATATTGGACATATTAAGCCTTTAGCGTTAGTAATATTTGCTGGGATGACAATTCATACTGCATAAAATGCATGCATTTTTAGTTCTTAAACCTATAGTGTGATTTTTATTTTTTTTATACTGTAGTTTGTGCCCACTGCTCTTGCTCAATAGTTCATGGTATTATCCGCTTGCCTACAGGGGAAATTTTGACATTTTTCACATCTATGTTAAAAATCATCATTTTTTTTGGGGGGGGGGGGGGGAATTGAGAATGCGCCAACATTATACATTTCCTGAAAGCCGGGCCCTGGACAATGAAATGGTGGATGGTGCAATTTATGCTGCACAATATTTGAGTTGCTGTTTTTTCAGGAAAAACTGCACTTAAATTTTAATGCACACAAACCCAATATAATACCTTTTTTTTTTTTTTTTTGTAAAATATAAAATGTGGCATCGAGTAAATAGATATGTCAAGAATTAAAATTGCGTATGCCTGTGAAATAGTGACAGTTTACAGTACTTAAAATTGTCCATAGGTGACACTTTAAACTTTTACAGGTATTCAGTTTAGTGTTAATCATGAATTGTGGCCATTGATTTATTGCTCTTACTCCGAACCTCTCTGGAATAATGCACATATGTGTGGTGCAATCACCAGTACATGTCTGTCAAACCTGTGTGTATTTGCATGTGTGTGTGCGCTAGTGCTTTTTAATGTGTAGTATGATTTTTTTTTTTTTTGGGGGTGGGGGTGGGGGGGTTCTCTTCACAAAAAGTACCATTTGTGATAGCTTTGGTTATTGACAGGTACTCTTTATGGCTACATCATGGGTCCATTAGTTCTGGATCATTCATCTCCACTTCCAAGTATTGTAAACCTCATCGGCCAACTGTAGCTGCAGCCATTATCTTCATATAACCACTCGCCATCCAGGAGATTTTATATACATTGGATAGTAAGTGGTAAATTCAATAGAGCAGGCATCGCCAAATGGCGGACTGGGGTCTGGATGCGGACCGAGTCACTGTCCTATCTGGACCCATGCAGTCCTGCCATTTCAGAGCCTTTTCTTCCCCCAGTTGTCTCACGGGTCATCCTCACAGAGCTGACAGTGGGAGGCAGGACAGTTCTGGATGGAGGATGGGAACTGCCTGAGGTTAAGAAGCAGGTGATTGGTTGCTAGGATAAACGGCAGTTCTAGCAATCAATCACTGTCTGTGTAAGGTGGGGGAGGGGGGGGGGGGGGCGAAGTTAAAGGAGTGAAGGACAGTAGTGTGGCTGAGGTCTGAATGTGGGGGGGTGGCTGAGGACAGTAATGTGGGGGGATAATTTTAAAAAAGGGGCAGAGGACAGTACTGTGGGGGGGGGGGGGGGTTTGATGTCAAGGAAGTGTGAGAAACACTGCTGTGAACGGGGTGCGGAAAAGGGGGGGGGGGGGGTGATGTAAAGGTGGAACTGAGGACACTCATCAAGAGGGATCTTTCTGTGAATGAGGGGACTATGATTTGCAGTGGGGATTGCTGCGGACACTGATGTGGGAACAGGTTCAGATCTGTAAATGTGCATTTGGTGCACACGTTGTGGGTAGGTCAGCACTACCTGCTAGAAACCTGAAGAAGTCCCTTTTTTTTTTTTTTTTTTTTTTTTTTTTTTTTTTTTTTTTTTTTTTTTTTTTTTAAATTCTTGCGGCAGCATGACGTGGTTTGACGCACACGAAAATGCACTACAGGGGCCTACATGAGGTTCAGACCTCTGATTCATGCAAATTTTAGTGCTCGGGCCTTGGTGAAATTTTAATTCAATACCCTTGCAATAGAGAGTATATTGGCTGCAGCACAGGTGTATGTCACAGCAAAAAAATTATGAAGTACATCTTTGCAGGGCATACACATTTCTCCAAGTTTTATCCCTTTTAAAAACCCTGCAAATGCAGAAAAATACCTGTCGAGCTGGTAAAAATGCACTCCACTCCTAAGCCATGTTGTGAGCTTGACAACATAATGTTTTTTTTTGTGGACTGAGTGTTATCAGCCCCTGCTCGGTTTTATCTTGGCAAACTACTCGGACCCACATACTCTCCCATCTCCAGGATGGACTGGGACGGCTAATTACACTGTTCAACAAATTTTTATTTTTTGCCAGTTTTGGAAACAAAAGGATCCATTTCTTAATGAATTTCACATTCTGAGTTCAAATGTAACAATGAAATTTGTCAATTGGCTCTAGTTTTTCTGTAAACGGAAAGTTTTCTACTATAGGCGTAATGACTACATAATGCACAATAATTATATAGATAGATGTCTTTCCACAAATATAAAAGCAAGTGATATTGACTACATAACAAAGCCTAAATGGCATAATATATTGCATAGGATTACACCAAGAAAAATTATAGCCATAAGCTAAGTTGAATCATTTTAATACTTAGGATTCTCACTAGTTTTGTCTTCAGTTTGTGTCGGTTTTGCTTCTCTTGGCTTTTCTCTTGTATTCGAGGAAAGGGCTATCTCTTACAACTGCACGTGACTACACGCTTCAGGTTCTTCCTCACTTGACTCAACCACGAAGGATTCTGGTGCTTTAGGAATTGGTAGCCCCTCTCCATGAGGAACTGGACGTATTGCCGATGGAATATTTGGATAGTGCACAGATAACTTTTTCTTCTTATTTAGCCCTTTTGTTGGAGGCACCATACAAAAGTAACAATTACTAACATGATCTGTTGGCTCTCTCCAAATCATTGGCACAGCGAAAGGCATAGATGCCTTTTTTCCATTCAACCATTGCTCCAGTGCCGTCCCACGAGAATTGCAGCATATATGTGGTGCCCAGCTCTTGTCCTGGTCTCCTATCTTGCAGCCAAAATACAAGTTGTAGGCTTTCTCTAATCATTCCTGTTATCCTCCTTTTTTGTGAGATAAAAGTTATTTCACCGCAGATATAGCAGAAATTATCTGCTTATTCACACAAGTTCGAGGCATTACTGAGTAGCCTATATAAGCATAAAACAAAATGTAAAGACGCTGTCGAACTACAATCAGCTACAGATACTGCAGCTTTTATGCAATAAAGTGATGCAATTAAAGGCTAATATTGCATCATTCTCAGTATACATGCAATTTTCTATTGGTCACCAGTATCAATTGCACAATATGCAGCTGAAGTTGCATCATAATTTTGAATGGCTTACGTCATTAGATGGGTGAATATATCATGGAAACTAGAGCCAATCAACATTTTTTAGGGTCATTTTCGTTTTCAGCACCCCAAAAAATTATGTAAGATTAGCTAATTTTATGCCCAAAACTTTTTACCTGTTGAACAGTGTTACTCTCCTTTAAAATAACAAAAGAAGTGAGCTTAAAGAATGGCGATGAGTAGGCTGACCCATTTTTAAAAAGTTTAAAAATTAGATTGGTAAGTTGTGGTAGTTTACGTGGTAAACAAGCTTATTATTAGCATAGTGGCTCAGCTAGCAGAGTAATTCATGCGATTTCCACTGGTTTTATATTGTTTCTCGTTTTCTTAGAACATGGAATCCCAACCTCTGTAGATTTTATTGGCTGTGACCCTGCCCATGCTGTTGCCTCATTTACCAGTGGTTGCATCGTAGTCTATGACTTAGAAACATCACAGTCTATACTGCAGTTATCTCCACCTACAGATTCTAGTAAGTGTGTTCTAAAAAAAACAGTATTCTAATGAGCTGATCTGTGTATGTTTGTGACATTAATTTGACTCTATTTGGGTGTTTATATAGGTATCCCATTCAGTGGCCACATAAATAAAGTTGTAAGTCATCCTACTCTTCCTGTTACAATTGCTGCATATGAGGATAGGCACATCAAGTTTTATGACAACAAATCAGGTATGCTGACTTTGTTCTCTTTCTGTATAGACTGCAGAGTTTGATCATATAGTAGAACATTGTTACAAAAAGTGTGTGTCAGAACCTAGGGTCAAAAATAGGAATTCGGCATCCTAGCAGCATAAGGGCTCATGCACACGGCCATATGGGCCGTTGAACACCCAGACCCACAGCTGCTGCCTACAGCCTCTCATAGTTTGCAGTTAGAAGAGGTGGCTGTACACGGTTATGTGTGGGAGTAGTGAAGGGGTTGCATAAACCATTGACTCATGCTCTAAAGGCAGTTTATCTGTGTTTGGAGCACAAACCCCTGGCACATAACTGCATACAACAGCATTTTCTAATTGCTGTCTATGGATGGCTGTTCACTGCAGCTGTGGGTCCCAGGAAAGATTTTAAGGAGCCTTTAAAGGGTAACTCCACTTTTGTGGGGGGAAAAAATAGCAAATAAAAAAAAATATAGCATATACAATTGCAAGTCATATTGTTAATGTTATTAAAAAATTACCTTTCCTTTTCTTTCTTCAGCGCTGTAATTTTCTGTAAAATGCAATTCAGTTTGGCTACCTGGAGGTGTTCTGTACACACAATGTGGACAGAGCGCCCCCCCCAGCAACATCATTTCCTGCTTGTGTAATTGGCTGATTTTCCCAGAAGTCTGCACTGAGATACAAGTCAGATTTTAGGCATTTCCTGCAACAAAAATTGCATTTTTGGTGAAAAATACTCCCAATAGGAAATCGTGTCTAAAGAGATGCAGACCCTGCCAATTTCCTCAGAGCCCTGCAGGGGCAGCAGCTGATTGATAATTATGAAACCTCTCCCCATTAGATATTTGACCTCTCCCTCATATTTTAATCCTGTAAAGGAAGAGTTCAATTTTGCTAAGTCTTTAAGGTGAGATGTGCTTATAGTTGAAAGGACAGTTTGGTCTGCACAACTCACATTCACTTCTGTGATGAGCACAGGCTTCAGATCAATACAGTGCTTTTGCCCTTACACTATGAATGCATTACAGCCTTTTTCCACAACTGGGGTAAATTATTGACTGTTAAGCATGCTAATTACATCAGAACTATTAATGAAAGCAGGTGTTGAGCCTCATCTGTAGAAAAAGCACAGTGTTTCCTATAATTGATCTAGTAATCCATAGTAGATTTGGAAATATTGGAGCTGCTCTTGTCTTTTTCCAAGGAGCTATACTTTTCTTTGTATAGCTGCACTTTCAGCTACTGTTGATTCCTCTCTTTCAGGCAAGACCATTCATTCAATGGTTGCTCACCTGGATGCTGTTACGAGTCTTGCAGTGGACCCCAATGGAATTTACCTGATGTCTGGAAGTAAGTGTTACGTTGAGCAATGTAGCCTATATTCTTTATAATGGAAGATATCACTAGTAAATCTAGCACACAGGAAATATGGTCAACACAGCAATTTTTGCTTAGGTTCCAGCTTTTATTTATGACCCTGCTAACGGATGCACCAAGTTTAAAAAAAAAAAAAAAAAAATTTCAAGGTTCTTAGCATGTTTTTTTGCCTTGGATATATGCATATTTGTTTAAACAAAACAATACCAAAATTGTAGAATTCAAGACTTTGGAATTTCTGGACTGATATAAGCGCATCCTAACTATGGCTGCATTTGCATTCTCGTCGGTTCATTGTCCAAAAGGTCCAATTGGCATCTTGCAAGTAGAGTAGAGACTGATAAGGAATTCAGGCCATCAAGGAAAGGGGGGCCTAAGGGAGCATAAGCCCTTGTCTATTTTATCTGCTTCTCACTCTGAGCCTGATTTATATCATGCAAGACTAACACTTTTTAATCAGAGTATAGCATCAAGTCAGTTAAACTCCTGGGATATTAATCTGGTCAGTTAAGTAGCAGAGGGAATTGTTGGTCAGTTTCAGCTGCTTAGGTGTTAATGAAATTAACAGGTGCACTAGATGGGCAACAATAAGATGACCCCAAACAGGAATGGTTTTACAGGTGGAGGCCGCTGACATTTTTTCCCTACTCATCTTTCCTGACTGTTTTTTCACTAGTTTTGCATTTGGCTATGGTCAGTGTCACTACTGGTAGCATGGGGCGATACCTGGACCCTACAGAGGTTGCACAGGCATGGCACATCAATACGTGCCATTGCCAGAAGGTTTTCTGTGTCTCCCAGCACAGTCTCAAGAGCATGGCGGAGATTCCAGGAGATAGGCAGTTACTCTAGGAGAGCTGGACAGGGCCATAGAAGGTCCTTAACCCATCAGCAGGACCAGTATCTGCTCCTTTGTGCAAGGAGGAACTGGATGAGTACTGCCAGAGCCCTACAAAATTATCTCCAGCAGGCCACTGGTGTGACTGTCTCTGACCAAGCAATCAGAAACAGACTTCATGAGGGTGGCCTGAGGGCCCAATGTCCTCTAGTGGGCCCTATGCTCACTGCCCGGCACCATAGAGCTCGATTTGCCATTGAACACCAGAATTGATAGGTCCAACACTGGCACCCTGTGCTTTTCACAGATGAGAGCAGGTTCACCCAGATCACATGTGACAGACGTGAAAGGGTCTGGAGAATCCGTTGAGAACGTTGCGCTGCCTGTAACATCGTTCAGCATGACTGTTTTGGTGGTGAGACAGTGATGGTCTGGGGAAGGCACTTCCATGGATGCACAGGCCTCTACAGGCTAGACAATGGCATCCTGACTGCCATTAGGTATCGGGATGAAATCCTTGGACCCATTGTCAGACCCTACACTGACTGGTGCAGTGGGTCCTGGGTTCCTCTTGGTGCATGACAATGCCTGGCCTCGTGGTGAGAGTATGCAGACAAGACAGTACCTGCAGGATGAAGGAATTGATATTGAATGGCCCCCATGCTCTCCTGACCTAAATCCAATAGAACATCTCTGGGATATCCTGTTTCAGTCCATCCGATGCTGCTAGGTTGCTCCTCAGACTGTCCAGGAGTTCAGTAATGCCCTGTCCAGATCTGGGAGGAAATTCCCCAGAACACCATCTGTCGTCTCATTAGGAGCATGCCTCAATGTCAAGCATGCATAAAAGCACGTAGGGGCCATACAAACTACTGAATACCTTTTTGAGTTGCTGCAATGAAATTTTCGCTAAATGGACTAGCCTGCTGCATCATTTTTTCACTTTGATTTTCGGGGTATCTTTGAATTCAGTCCTCTGTAGGTTGATGAATTTCATTTCCATCAAATGATGGGGCATCCTTATGTTCCTAACACATTACCAAGTCCATATCAGTATAGATATCCAGCATGATATTTTTCCCCATTTGAGATCTGATGTGTTTTCAAAGTGTTCTTTAATTTTAAGTGTACATACCCTGTGGGAGCAAGGTGCACATTGGTTACCTACAGCAGACTATGCATCACAGCAGCATGATTATATTTTTGACCAAGGGCTCTCAACCCCCAACCTGGTGATCATGGCTATTCATCTGCTCTTTTGTACCTCCCACAATTAATTCATTACTTATAGGAAACTGTGGTCTGAAATTGTAACCAGCATACCCAGGGCTTTGCGTAAGTAGTCATTCTATCTTGAGAGATATGTATTAATTCAGGCTGTGCTCCTAAATAAAATTCAAAGAAGGAAACTGACCATGCTGGTATGTATGTGCTTCCATGCCCTGGCATGGTAATTTTTGAAATAGGAAAGCAGGAAGACTAGCAGGATCACCAGGCATTTCACAAAAAAGCAATTCAAAGAGAACAGGATATATGGTTGCACAGGCACAAATCGGAAATATGAAATGTTGGGCTAGCGTGCTTTAATACAGTAAATGCTGCATTTGACCACTAGATGGTACCATGTAACCTGTTATTTTTCACAACTCCGTCTTGTCCTCTTCTCTAGGACAGACCTTTGAGTTGCACTTACATGATATCAAAAAGGTATGCATCCATAACAGAATCCACAGTAAACCATAAGATGTGTGAAAGCCCATCTCCAAACTGCAGTTTGCTCGTGTGCCAGCTGGAACACATGATGATATCTTTGCAAGGCTGTCCCAGTCTATGACAGAGGAGCAGGGAGAGGGGATGCAAAATGCCGGTCACACCAGCAGCTTATATTTGAAAGGTGTCTGGACTAGAGGAGAAGATTGGCAAGGGGAGCATGCAAGTTGCCGAGATCATATCACGTGTTTCAGAGGCATAGACTTTCAAAGACTGGCAAAAAAAAAGCTGTTTGGTCAGTTTTAGTAAAAGGTTTATTGCTATAGTTTTTGCGCTTTCCTTCTTTTGTAGATGGCCATGGGACGACAAGCTGTAAATCAGTTTTGCAGCTGGTGCTTGTGCAAACTTTAGCTTGGAGATGGGATTTCATGTATAGTATGGTTTGCTGTGGATTCTGCTATGGATGCATACTTTTTGGAATCGTATGTAAAGGGATAGCTACATAGATCCTGGATGAGGCTTGTTTCATTGCTGACATCGGAGTTATTTCTGAGCTGGATACACCTAAGTTTGCAACCATTTTATATAGTTGTTGTAGGCACCAGCATCTTAGTAATGTATTCAGAAATGGAAAAAGAAAAGATGGACTTTTAAGGTGCCAGACTCTAAACAAAATAAAAATCGACAATTTTTATTAAAGCTTACCAAACAGTATAACATGCAATTTAAAATACATACTATAATAATTTCTATAAATATTTATATTATAAATGTATAAAAATCATACAAAATTGTGTTATTACAAAGCCTTCCTAAACAAGTACCCGTAGGTGTATATAGACCCTGATGGTAACAGATCAGTAGAAATGTTGAGTCCAGCGACTTCTGCGCACGTTTGGGGTATCTTCCATATGGGTAAACTAACTCAACGCATGTCATGGGAAACCCCACTTCCTCAGGAGGTTTTAGGGAGCTAAAAAACTATAAAATAAAAAAATTATAAAAAAAAACTAAAAAATAACACGAGGCTTTACCTCACCCATAAAGGGGAGATCTCAAAGTGCTGACTCACCATAAATTTAAGAGGTGTGGTCCTCCGAAGCCGGGGTCACGTCAGGAAAAAATGTGTTCGGAACTAAGAGAGGCCACCTAGAAAGAGGCTTAAAGGAGAACCAATCTTATAAGGGTGTATACTTGTGAGCTACTATGGTGGCATAAAATTGCTTATAATTAATTAACTAATTTAAATGTGATGGTGCATCAACACATGAAACACATACTCAAAATGCTGTGTGAAAATAAACAAATAAAATATTGAATGTGTCGCGCTCCTCAAAAAAGTGTTTAGTGATATATGATATATAATTATGTATAAATAAAATAAATTAAATAAATAAATCTTAAATAATATAATTTAAATTAAATTTAAAACACTCCCAGTGCTATAATTAACTTAATTATAAATAACTAAAATTATATATATAATGTTGTGAAAAAATATATATAATATATGCCACAAATCAAGTGAGCAAAGAAAACCTCCTTGCACACTAATATATATGTGAAAAAATTGTGCATGTGCAAAAATGCAAATATTACCCAAAACGATAATGCAAAAATATATATGATATAGTGCAGTACTCAATTAAATATGGAAAAATAAATAATAATAAAAACTGTGCAAAATAATGTATTGTAATCACTCCACTTGTGCAACCTGAAGCGGTGATTAGGACTATATACTTCTATTCCTTAGCTTAGATGAGATATGAACGTCCCAATCTGTACAAATATATGGAAAGTCTATTGCTGTTAAAGTAGACTGTGGTGTTGCTTTCCTTCCACTAGATGGCCTCCCAGTTCCTTCCGAGTTATGAGGGCTGGATGGATAGATATGGATATCTCCCCTGGTGTAGTTTGGGGTCTATCTTCTATCTCCTCTTCCTCCCCTTTTACTCCTCCGATTTAGGCCATGAAAAAGAAGAAAAATCCCCACATGGTGCTTATATCCTTTTAAAAAGATTTTAATGCGTCTCCAGACAAGTGCAAACTCACATTCCACAGAGCAATACAGAGCGTTTTGTTAAAATGTGTGCCCTCGCACAAAGACAGTACTCGCCGTTCCGCTGGTAGTGGCGTCGTGAATAAATAAAATTTATTTTATTTATACATAATTATATATCATATATCACTGAACACTTTTTTGAGGAGCGCGACACATTCAATATTTTATTTGTTTAAAGGAGAACCAACCTCGGTGTAACCAAACAACTTTATTGAGATCAAAATTAAATAAAATTAGGCCAAGAGACCAACAATCCTTTAGTCACTATTTAAAATAAGGTTCTATAACGTTATCACCTTAAAATAAAAGCCTGGGCACCGCTCATCCACTCACGTATGCTGCATTGCATTAACTCGGTCT